ATCACACATCAATCATTCACATACATAAACCAAATTCATACATATTATACAAAAAATAATAATAAATAAATAAACTTACTATTATAAAAACTACATTTGGCCCCTAAACCATAATTTCAGACCTTGTTTAAAATTACCTATACTTCTTACTGTCTTCAGTGCACCAGGTAACCGATTCCAAAGGGTAGTTCCAACATAAAGAAAAGAATGTTTGCCCAGATTTGTATTAAATCTGGGGGGAACAAAATCAGTTGAGCTACCCCTAGTGGAGTACCTGTGAACTTCGTCTACTCTATTAAAATAATTTCTAAAATATTTAGGAACATCTCCATAAACAATTTTTTGTACCATACCCAGCTGCATCTGAGACACCCGATCCTCAACTTTTAACCATCCCACCCTTTCAAAGTGGGAGGATTCCAGATGAGTTCTAATGGGGAGGTCTAAAATCCAATAACTTTGATATTCTGGCTAAAAAACGAACTCTTTGATTAACTTCGGTCGCATAATCGCCGCATTATTCCTTTACGTCGAAGCCTCCAACCAGCCGTAGGTTATTAATCTAAGGGAAACACACGATTCTTATCATATATGAACGGTTAACACCGATAACAAGTGTCCACACCAAATTTAAAATACTGTTATCATTTATCATCCCATGAATTTAGTGACATGAGGGCAAGTAAAGACGACATAATTTGCATATGTGGACATTATTTCCTACAAATGTACTTATTGCAGCATGTACACGTTAGAAAATGTAAACACAGTCTAATTTTGTATTTTTCACAAGACAACTATTTTTTATTTAATCACACAGTTATTCTGTTTTTGGTGAGTAAACTTCTTGACTCACCAGGTTTTCTTTAAAATCAGTTGACAGCAATTTCTGCCCCAGTCTCTCGAAGTCTTTTACTGGCGAAAGATTTTAGAAATTTGTCTGTGACCCCCTTTTCCCCAAGAAAATATTTTAGGGCCCCCCTTCACATTTAATGATATTATCGCTATTGTAAGCTTGCAGCAAGGATAACAAAATATGGTTTTTTTTTCAAACAAACGGTATGTTTATGCACAAATAATAGCCTATAATTTTGAAAATACAATGACTAAAACATCAGTAGGCCCTTTGTAATTTAACAACGTAAGCCTAGGAGAAGCCTATTAATTGGCCCTATTTGAAATGCAAAAATAAAAATATTCACACTGGTGTTTAGGTAAAAAAAAGAATATCTGCTATTAAATGACTGTTATCTGGGGCCTCAATACTTGCATGTTATCTGTGAGGCTTTATAAATGTGAGGCTTTATTTTTACGCTTTTGGCGCAATAGCGAGCGATAATAAACGTGCATTTATTAACAGAATAATGCGTCTTTCGGAAAGAACAGTGTAGCCGTGTAACTACTTCTCTCTGTGTACGTCTATGACGAGTCACGCAGGTACTGTAGTACTCCGCAGCAGTGTTAAATAGTCCCAATGTAAACACTTATTATAGGTGTACCATAGTGGTTCAGGATAAGACAAAAACACAGATTGGAAAATGGATTCATGATGAAATCACTCATTATATACATTTTGTAAATTTTTAACAGAAAAAAGTTAAGGACTTTTATTTAATGCTCATTGCTCAAACCTTCAAAATATGCCGCGACCCCCCAAAGAGCTCGCTGAGGCCCCCTTGTGGGCCGCGACCCCCTTGTTGGGAACCGATGCCCTGGAGTTCCTTTTGCATTAAGAATCCGTAGAACCGACTGTTGCTGGCCAATAATCATTTCCTGTTTCGTCAGCATCTCACGGATTAGTGCTAGAACAGAAAAGATAAAAAATATAACATGAACAATGGTAAAAACAAAATAGTTTTTTTCATTAAAACCACGAAAATTCTCCCCACCAACACATATTAGATCTTATTAACAAATTAAATAAAATGTAGTTTTTAAATCAATGGCTTTAGAGAAAAAGATCAACAGCTTTGGCATTAATTGCACTCATAGAAAAAATGACATCTGCAATATACAGTTTAGACTACTCTTCATGTCATATGCTGTACAACTCTCTAATACTTCCATACTTCGCACACTGCACAGATGTCTGGGGTAACACAAAACCTCTGTTGGTAAACTGTGGAACACCTTGGACTGCTGAAGTACTGCAAAAGTGTTTATAAATTTAAGAATTTGTATTAAAAAAAATGCAGGAATGTCACAAGGAAAATGATGTCAATGATGATAATTAAGTGTAAAGATAGGTATTACTGAAAATATTTGGTGATTGGGGTTGATCCATTCATAAAGCAGCTGTTTTTTGATGTGCATAAATAGCAAGGTTTTACAAGGTTTTTCTTCTTCCTGTTCCTTTTTATTCGCTCATGGAAACAAAACAAAAAAATGTAAAACGGTATGAACGAATGAATGAATAAATAAATACATTTTACTTTGTGATTTCACCGGAACGAATACAGAGTAGGCTCTTGTGGAGCTGGAGAGGTTCATAAAAAACATGCGGTAACACTTTATTTGAAGGGGTGTGCATAAGACTGACATGACAATGTCATAAACATGACATAACACCTGTCATGAACATGAAGGAGTCTTTATGAATGTTTGTGACTTTTGTCATTAAGTGTCATTCGGTAAATTATGACACTTTTAATGCAAGGTTGACATTGTTTAAAATGTCTTTGTTATGACAACTTGACATTAACCAAGACAAAAAGGTTTTGATTATGACAACTTGACATTAACACAGACAGAAATGTCTTTATTATGACAACTTGACATTAACTAAGAAATCATAACCTGTCACAAATATGTCATAACAGGTCTAATTATCAAACTTAAAGAAGTAATTTAGCTTTGCGTTAACATTACATTAACCTGTCATATGTGGTTGGTTTTGACTTTGTCCGTCATGACACCATTATAACTGTGTCATTAATATTTGACTTGTCCTCAAAGTGGAACACATTGTACTAGTTATAAAGATGTCATTAAGGGTTATTACACTGTCAAATGCTGTCAAACAACAGTGTCATTAATATTTCCCCTTACCTCAAGTGGAACACGTTGGACTAGTTATGAAGATGTCAGGTTGACGGGTTATGATTTCTTGGTTAATGTCAAGTTGTCATAACAAAGACATTTTAAACAATGTCAACTTTGCATTAAAAGTGTCATAATTTACCGAATGACACTTAATGACAACAGTCATAAACATTCATAAAGACTCCTTCATGTTCATGACAGGTGTTATGTCATGTTTATGACAGTGTCATGTCAGTCTTATGCACACCCCTTCAAATAAAGTGTTACCAAAGATGCAAATAGATTTGTTTTGTTTAAATAAAGTATATGTCTGACATATAACCATCATTTCCTATAGAACCAGAGGCTCACGTTCACATGTGAAATCATCAGTTGGCCAGATGGCATGGTGACTGGTCAGCATGTCTGTATAGGATACACTTTTTATATGTGTGGGTCAAACTGGTGGACTTGTGGAGCAATAGGAAGGCCTGTGTTACCCTGCTGTAATTCATCTTATCCAGAGTCCATCACAAAAGAGCTCAAAAGTCGAGTGCTTTTTTTTATTTATTTTTTTTTAAGTAATTTGTGTCACTTCAGTGTACTGAGAAAATCATATAATGTGAAAAACACTTTATTATGAGACAACAGAAAACAAATATTACAAAATATTACACCTACATTTTACGGCTTGCTGTTTTTCGGCCTGGCTCCTCTGCTTCTGACTCAAGGTCGGATTGAACCTCCGCCTCTCAAACCTTCCTTCCACCTTATATTATTGTTTAAAATGTGGTGTTATTGTTCATTTGAAAGTTTATTTGATCATTGTTAATGTTCATATTTTAGTGTATTTGTTATTTTTTTTCATAAAAGCCCTATAACTTTTTAAATTTGTGTTTTCCTGCTAAAATGTATAACATGTCGTAGTTTCTGGACCACATCTGGCCCGGGGACCAAGCCGAGTCTCAGACTGATCTGTCTTACAGTAACTGGGCCAGAACCGGGCCACATAAAATAATGCAAATCACTTTACAGTGTCTGGGCCAGAACAAGCCAGAATTGAAGTACATGGCCCTGTGGTGGGCCAGACAAATTTTGCTATCTGGGAGTAGTGTTGCTTTCGAAAACGAAAACTTATGACTAAGTATTGTCGTCAACGAATCTTTATCACGTGACGAAAATGAGACGAGACGCAACGTAAATGCTGGTCGTGTGACGATGACTATAACGAAATGTATAAATATCGTTGACGAATAAAAACGAGACTAAATGTGGTTTACAAAAATTAAAAACTATGCTAAAATGTCTTCATTTTCGTTGACCAAAACGAGACGAGACAAAATGTTATTTAACGTTACGTCGTCTTTCATTAGCCTATGTGTGTAGGCTACTTCTTACATGTTTGGTTGGTAAAATAAATATGTTGTAAATTCAATTTAGAGCATCTTCCATGTCTGGAATGGATGTATTCTTGAGTCTATAAGGTGACAATAATATAAGAATATAATAAGAGGATACGATTGTTTGAAATGGGTTTGGCTAAAAGAAAATTTTGGTTTCGTCTATAGGCTACTTATATGTTGACTAGGTTAAATAGAATTGCATATTATAAAGAGACTAAAATACAATTTTCATTGACTAAAACTAGACTATGTTTTTCGTCGACTAAAACTAGACTAAAATGTCATCAGTTTTCGTCGACGAAGACTAGACTAAAAAGAGTATGAACGTGACTAAAACTAATAAAAACTAAAATGTCAGCTTGACACAAAGACTAGACTAAAACTAAAATTAAAACAGGCCGCCAAAAACACTATCTGGGAGGCATTAAAATGTACACAGCTAAATAATTACGTTAACTAATTTGAATCTGTTACTGAATGAAATATAAACAGCATTGAGTTAAATTTATAATAAAGTTTATATATATATATATATAATTTATATCCGTATAAGCCCCGCCCACCTCATTGCGTCACTCGCGCTCCTGCTGTTTCTCAGGTTTCAGCGGAACTGCTGCGTGGCGATTCCCAGTTCCCACAACTCCCAACATCCGATGGGGAAAACACACACGGCACGATTTAACAGATCCAACAGAGGATGACATCTGCTCTCTAAACTCAAATCTACACACTTTCAGGAGCGCCTTTAGCACTGATTTCACGCTTGCTCTTCAAACATGCAGATCAGCGACATAAAACATCGACAGAAGAGTTCAAACAAGCAGCAGAACGGAGAGAAACGGAGAAGTGAGGATGAGAAGAAGAAAGAGTCCGTCATCAGAGACAGTTTCAGTCCTGATGAGAAAAAGAAAGACAGTTTCAGTGCCGCTGAGAAGAAAGAGTCCGTTATCATCAGAGAGAGTTTCAGACCTGACGTGAAGTTCTGCGTCAGTCTGATGTGTCTCGCGCTCTCCGTCATCGTCGCTTGGTCAGTTCACTTATCTCTCACTCATATTAATAATAATAAATCAGTTTTCCTCTTTCTATGAGTGTGGTTTCGTCTGTCCTCCACAGGCTGCATATTCAGCAGAGCGCAACGCTAGCAGAAATGAGGGGAAAGTACGAGTATTTGCAGGAGAAGAGCCGCAGTGTTGAGGAGCTCGACGAGAAACTGACTGAAGTCTCACAGCAGGTCTGTGTAATCAAGTCTAAATACTAATGTGATAGTTGAGTTTGTGCTTGTTTCAGAAGCTTCAAAAACCTTTACTCCGTTTACACTAAAGTTAAACAAACTTATTTGGGTTACACTTTACATTAAGGTTTCATTCGTTAATCTGATCTAACAATAAACAATACAGCCATATGGAAGCTTGTTTACGCCACAGAAAAAAACATTAAAAACGGTAATTGTGACTTTTCCCCCCCAATTCCGAGGAAAAGTTGCAATTTCAAGAGGAAAAAACATCTGTAATGTGAGGAAAAAAGTCATAATTTCGAGAGAGAAAAAGTCCAAATTGAGAACATTTTAGGGAAAAAGTCAGAATTGTGTAAATATATAAAAATAAATGAACTCCTGTAAAGTTAAAGTGGAATGTAAACACGTCAATACGCCCCCTGGAGACATGTCAATTTCGCAAAAATTTGCACAAATGTTTTTACGCCGGCGTGAGGTGGTTTTACAGGCAATTTGAAAAAGAAAGATTTTGCAGAACTGCAATGGAAACTTTACACTCACCTGACATAGATGAGAAGTGATGGACAGAAAACGAGAATCTTTATCAAACTCATAAAACACACAAGAATTACAGGAATACTGGATTCTAAACCTCTAAGGAATGCCACCATCAGGATCCTGAAGCAGAAATGAGGGAGAAACACCTCGTACGAGCCGTATAAGAGTGTTTTCTTGCCATTTATCCTTGGATAAAACGCCTACGACTCCTTGCGTTAATAATAATGGCCAGTGTGGCCGTTGCTATAATTGTTGGAATGACTTATCGCGAGAGGAAAAAAAAAATTCTTTAGTCGCATAACATCGGTTAATAGAAACGCTGTCATTTCGCAATATATTTTAGAAAATATCGCAAAAGTTTTGCGCAAATCTGAATGGAATCGCAGCTTGTGTTAGCTTGTGTTAATCGTAGCATTAGCGCTAGCTCAGCGCTGACACGTGTGTGTGTGTGTGTGTTGTGACCGCAGCTCCAGGCCTCCGCAGACGCCGCTACGCTCCTGTCGAAGCTGCGCCTCTCACTCGGCTCCGTCCTCAACACGTCAGCGGCGCTGCGGGAGCATCAGGACTCGGCCTCCCGCCGGCTCCACACACACACACAGCAGAGCGCCGAGCTCCGCGCGCTACACACCCACTCCCGCGGCGCGCACACAGAGGTGGCGGCGCAGGTGAACACGCTGGAGGAGCGTCTGCGGGGGCTGGAGGAACGTCTGCAGGAGGTGCAGGACGGCGTGCGCGGGAACACGCGAGCGCTGGAGCGCACCGAGGAGGAGGAGCTACAGCGGGTGCGCGAGCTAGCGGAGCGGAGCGACTCCAGTGTGTCCCGGCTGCAGGAGCGGCTCGAGCGGCTAGCGGCGCAGGCCCGCGGGCTACAGGAGCGGCTGAGGCAGGAGGAGGAGGCCGGTCGGGCTCAGCAGGACGAGGAGGTGGCTCTGGAGGAGGCCGTGCGCTCCATGCTACGGGTGCGAGCGCTCGTCAGCGCCACCCGCAGGCGATTCCAGGAGCTGGAGGAGCAGGTGAAGAGCGCGGAGGAGCGCAGGACGAGGAGACACCACCCCACACCACAGGCTAACACTGGCGAGAGCTGAGCCCAGGAGCCGCACACACGCTGCTTCTACTTCCCTCACGGACTGTGGCGGGGTCAGTGTGACCCGGCTTGAGCCGTCGCAAATATCAGTTAACATTTGTTTTTTCTTGGACTTTTGTGACCTTTTCTCTTTTAGGGTCATGAACAAACATGCAGTGTTTCAACTCTGATGTGTTTTGACAAGGGCTATTCGAAAATCTCAACACTTGAGGAATCGGACACTTGTTATAAAATGAAAATTTTGATTCCTGTGTGCGCATTTCAATATAACTTTAACCCATTCCAGTGTGAGACGCTGCAGGCGTATCCGTATCGGCTCTTAAAGTGACGGTGCTCATATTCCTGCGGTCTCTATTATAACACTAATCAAACAACAGAAGACGGAGAGAACATGCACTCGTTCTTGACTGAGTAACTTTTATAGCTATATTTGTAGTGTATTTCAAATGTCATTACAGTTTCTGTACCTCAATACCTGAACATCTTCAAACACGGTTTGTTTGATATTTCAGTCGTATTTCCAAATTATATTTCAATCGTATTTTGTCCCGTTGTATAGTTGTGATTTACAATTATTTATTTTTTAATTACTGAGTGTTTTACTTGTCTTTTAATAATGCTTGAAGTTGACATTAGTTTGGCTAGTTGTTTTTCTATGGTGTTTATAAACCTCAAGCAAACGCTCCTTGTGTACGTGTACTTTAGCCTTAATATTTGTTCATTATATTCAGCTACAATTAAATGTTTTGCAATAACAGTTTTTTTGTGTGTTTTTTTTTACCTTATTGGAATCGAAGTTAGGAATCTAAATCAAAAAAATTAAAACGATACCCAACCCTAGTTTTGCCGTACACACGCTAAATAACTTATGTTCGTGGGTCAATTTGACCTGCATATTTTAATGTTCGACTAAGGCAAATGTACAGGCCCAAAATAATAACATTTCTCGGTTACACTTTGTTATTTTAGTTTTTTACCCTGTTAAAAAAGGAGCTTTTCCCCAGTTATTTCAATACTGAAAACTTTTGTCGCCTACAGAAAAATATCATTTCTTTTTTCAATCTATCTTTTCTGAAACACTGTTGACCTCACATGCTGATAGAGTTTATAGAATATTAAGAATTTAAGCAAATGTACACAGGAAGATTCGTCGTCTTTTGGGAGGTGATGGAAACTACAGTCGTTGGCAGGATCACTCTGATTTCGTTTTCAGCTTATGTTCAAAACAATCACGTTTAAGCCACTGAACTAATCCGGTTATACATACAACCGCGAACAGCACATGTTGTCCCTGAGCTCCGTAACACCATCTCTCATAAAGATTTGCGTCTTTAAATAGTAAAATAATTGTCAGAAAAACAGCTAGCCTCTTCGCTAACTAACACACAAAATACCATTGGAATGCTACTTCCGCCGCCTCACCGGAAGTTTCACCCACTTTATTTTTTACAGGAGCGCCCCTCGGAAACTTGTGGATAGACCATTTCACAAGATGTAAACAACACTGGTCCAGAAGCAATTCCTGTTTCAGTTTTTTAACACTACATAAAAGCTGGGATAAAATACAACCAACAGAACATTTAAAACTGAATCAAAAAGTTAAACATCTTTAAGATGTTTTCTGTACATGTGAAATAAAGAAAACAGTTACAAACTGAAACAGGAAGTGCTTCTGGACCAGTGTTGTTTACATCTTGTGAAATGGTCTATAAGCAAAAACGTACTTTCTGACTGAAGTGTACTTGTGTAGTTTCTCTAGTGTGTGTGTGTGTATGTGTGTGTGTGCGCATGTATTTTTATGTTATTAGCAAAAACGTACTCTCTGACTGAACTGCACTTGTGTCCTCTCTCTCGTGTGTGTGTGCAGTGTGCGCGGCTGTCCCCTGCGCCGGTCTCGGCCCAGACGTCGGCTCTGTCCGCGGAGCTGTCTCGCCTGCAGGAGTTAGTGTCGGGCCTCAGCTCTCGGCAGCAGGAGCTCCAGCAGGACCTGGCCCGGGCCGTGGAGGACGAGCTCAGCCGGACCCGTGCCGTGGCCTCCATCCGGACGGACCTGCGGCGCGTGACGGGCCTGCAGACGGAGCTGGAGGCGCTGCTCACACATACACACGGCCTGGAGCAGGAGCTGTCCCGCACCGAGAGGCTGATGGTGAAGCGCATCGGGGACGCCCTGGCCGGCAGCATCGCCCGCACGTCCGAGCTCAAGAGCCACGCCGAGAGCAGCGGCCGAACACTGGACCGCACACACACACTCCTGCAGCAGCTCTCCGACGACGTCATCAAGCTCTCGGAGCGGGTCCTGGCGCTGGAGAGCGGGCGAGCCAAGCTGCGCCGCACCCTGAGCTTCACACACGACCTCAAGCCCACAGTCTTCAACGTCAGGCAGGACCTCGCACTCCTCCAGCCCAAACTAGACGACCTGACGCTGAGGATCGGCCTGCTGGCGGCAGACATGACGAGCCGGGACGAGCCCACAGGAGACGCGCTGGACCCGACGCCCTGAACCACGAGCTGCCGGTACCAGTCATCTCAGGTCCGAACATGACGAGACCCAGTGAGCTTACGGCCCGATGTGAGACACAGAGGCGGGACTTATGGAGTGAGCAGCCAATCACAGCGCGGCAATCTCACACTCACAACACTGTATTCCTGCAGGACACCGGTGCTTTAAACTGCACTCGTCTCTTCAGGCCGCACTGCATTGTGTTCCTCGATGTTGAAAACTAGTGTTTGATTCATATGGTTGTAATGTCTGAACATGCTGCACTTGCTCACTCAGGTCGTCCACACAGAGGAGACGAGAAGCACAGTGTCGAAAGTGTGGGTAATATTTCACAATGCTACTGTTTTACTGCGTTTTTGATCAAATAAATGCAATCTTGATGAGCATAAATGACTCCCTCTGTTTTTCAATCATTTTAAGCGTCTGCTGTCAGGGTGATTTCACATGCATGTACAGTGGTGTGAATAAGTGTTGGCACCCATGCTAAAGTTGCCTAAAAAGAGGAATAAAAAATCATCTTTTGGATATTGATCTTAATGCCTTAATTAGAAAAATGAGGAAAACTCCAACCTTTAAGGACACCAATTTTCTTTGTGAATGAATAATGTATCATAAATAAATAAATGTTTTTCCTTAAAATACAGGGTGCATACAGTAAGTCAGGGCACCCCTATGTTAAATTCCCATAGAGTCATAGATTTTTATTTTTAAAAGCCAGTTATTTCATGGATCCAGGATAATATGCATCTTGATAAAGTTCCCCTGGCCTTTGGAATTAAAATATCCCCACATCATCATCACTCACCTTCCACCACACCTAGAGATTGGCATGGTTTTATTTCAGTTAGCCTAATAGCTGGTTTGATTTGCATTGTAAGATGATCTTATGGAAAGTACCCCATGCCAATCTCTAGGTGTGGTGGAAGGTGTGTGATGATGTGGGGATATTTTAAATCCAAAGGCCAAGGGAACTTTATCAGGATGCATATTTTAACGATGTCTTTAATAACTTTTTATGGCCGGCAAGTTTCAGTTCCTCAAGAAGCCTATGGACTAATATGCAGGAGCGATCCAGCTCTCAGATTTCATCAAAAATATGTTAATTTGTGTTCCAAAGATGAACGGTCTCGGACTCAGCGCGATATGCATGCCGGTTAGAAATGTGTCCGAGAGCGGTCCGCCTTACTCTGATGTCATGCCGACGTATGTCAAAAAACTCTCGCGAGCGCAAGGCGCACCTGTCGGATTCTGCAGTCGCGCGCAGTTGCTCTCCACCGACTGCGCTGATCAAAAGCATGATGGGAAACAACTTGCTGACGACACAGCTTAATGCCCAGACAGCAAACTGACATTGAATCAACGTGGAAACGACGTCTCTCATGACATTGAAACAACGTTGATTTTGCTCATCGAATTAACATTGAACCAACGTCAGACGCGGCATTCTTCAAAGCTAAATGAAATCGAAAATTGGTTTGCGTTCATAACGTTGAAACAACGCGTTGATTCCAAGTTGATTTTCCGTTAGTTTTGAAAGAATGACGCGTCTGACGTTGGTTCAACGTTAATTCGATGAGCAAAACAATGTCAGATCAACGTTGTTTCAATGTCATATTTCCACGTTGATTCAATGTCAGTTTGCTATCTGGGTGCTCATTGGTTTAAACAACAGGGATGAATCGTTCTCTTTTAAAATATTTTATTTTAAAACTGTACATAGTATAGCCTACTTTTTTATGATAATGATTAGTAAATGCACACAATTCTCTGTGAACTTGATAAATGTAGCAGATATGTTTTACTATGCACATAAATAAATGCCTGTCAACTTGTGTGCAAAATTCAGAATTAAATGAATGTGCAGCAATTTGTCCAGATAGAGAGTCTACGATAGCCATTCAATCAGCACATTTAGTTTCATATTTGTTAAAATATTATAACGTTATTTTTTTCCATCTATATTGATTATGAAAGGGAACAGCATGAGTAAGATGAATGCGTAATATCATCATATCATTAGAAATAAGTGTGAACAATTTTGAGCCGTTGTGTGTAAACGGTGACAACTGTGTTGTAGTTGTGTTTAACTTTAACTTTCTTTAACCGTTTACCTTTCTTTTCTTGATATCGCAGCGGACATCAACTGATATTTTATTACGAATATAGGACTGACCTGAAGGAAAATGCTGTATCTAATGTAAAAGCAGGTACACTCGCTTACTCGATCTCTCACAATACTCGATGACTAAAATCTATGAGCACATGTGTGCGTTGCTAAGAGTGGTTGCTAGGGTGTCGTGTAGCGCTAGAACCGTTGTCGGGTGAAGCGGTCATAGCCGTGTGTATCGTGGATAATCAGAATCAATGGCTGGAAATCGTTCTATAAATCTCATTGCCTGAAATGATGACTCATATTAATATATCCATTTAGTGAAGTTTAGGTATTTGAAAGACCAAAAACAGGTCATGAATTATTTTATATTTGTCTTGAAAATAGTTTAGCTGATTTTTAATTTAAAATCTTGAGGCCCCCTAGTAATGAAGTGATTCAACAAAAAAAAAAATATATATATATATAATAAAACAATTATATGGAAATATGGTTCTCATATTAACGTTGCCATTTTTTGGTGTTTTATAGATCATTTGGTAAAAGATATGAACATAGTTTGGAAGGATTATAAACATTTTATTGGAAAACAACTATCATCCTGATACATTCAGAGTCTGAACCGTCACTGAGACGTGCATAACCCTGTGAAAAACAGCTGAGCTGGTGAAAAAAACAGTGCAGGTATTTATAGATAGAAGAAACAGCAGTTCACCCCTTCATCATTCCTACAAAAAGCTTTGTTTTCCACAGTTCTACCACCCGATCATCCCTTAGCTCTCGGTATCTGATCTCAGGCTCATTCATTCAGCGGTTCTTCATCAGCTCCTGGTTCTGCTCCTCCAGATTGGCTACTCTGGTATAGAGCTCCTCCAGATCGGCTACTTTGGTCTTGAGTTCTACCAGATCGGCTACTTTAGTCTTGAGCTCTGCTAAATCGACTACTCCTGTCTTGAGCTCTCCCAGATCGGCTACTCTGGTATTGAGCTCTTCCAGATCGGCTACTTTGGTCTTGAGCTCTACCAGATCGGCTACTTTGGTCTTGAGCTCTGCTAAATCGACTACTCTCGTCTTGAGCTCCTCCAGATCGGCTACTCTGGTCTTGATCTCCCCTAGCCGGCTCCTCATCTCCTCCAGATGGGCACTGAGCGCCTCCTCTGTGGTCCTGCAGCCGGCTAGCGAGTCCTCGTGTGTTTTCTGCCTGGTTTCGAGGGCGTTGAGCTCGGCGTCTCGGCTCTCCTCCGCGGCCCTCAGTCGCTCCTCCAGCTCGTGTTCCCGCTTCTCCAGCTCCTCCTTCAGCTCATCCCTCAGACTCTGTGTCTCGGCGCTGGCCTGGCTCTGCTGATCGCTCAGGCCCTGGAGCCGGTCGCTCGCGGCCTGGATGCCGGCTTTCGTTGTGCTAACCTCCTCGCGCAGGCTGCCCACGGCGCTCTGCACTAGTGTCCTCACGGCGCCCAGCTCCTCCGACAACGACGCCACCTCCCCGTTCCTCGTCTGCAGCTCGGAGCCCACCGACACGATCTGCTCGCGCAGCACCGCCACGTTCCCCGCGCACACCTCGCTAGCGGTGTTGAGGTTAGCCACGGCGCTGCTGACGGATGCTAACTCCTGCGCGAGGAGCGCCGGCGCCTCCGCCTCCTCCAGACGGGCTCTGAGCTCCAGGATCTCGCGGTTAAACCCGGCTGTGCTCTCCTCCGCGCTCCGGCTCATGCGCTGCTCCAGCGAGGACATGTCCCGCTCCCGCTCCTCCTTCAGCTCGCGGATGCTCTCCGCTAGGTCCCGCAGGAGCTGCGTCTGGAACTTCGGGAGCGCCTCCTCCATGCGCCGGGCGTCGGCCTCGCTCTTCTGCAGCGCGCGGCTGGTGCTCTCCTGATGAGTTCTGGCACTGGCCACCGCGCTCTCCACACCCTCCAGGGACGCCTGCATGGACCTGATCTGGAGACAGACAAGAGCACACGCTTAGGCTTCGACTCCTTAAAGACACCTTAAAGTCTCCGCCCAATCATTTTATCCCTTAAAACCAAGCGGAAACCTTCCGGTCTCCTTAACGTTATTGTCACTGTATAGCTGCTTAGACGCCATCTATATTGTCAAAAGCGCAATATAAATGAATGTGCCTTGAATCCGACACTGAAGGGATTAAACTGCAGTTCCTCCACTGGCCACTAGAGGCTGGCTGCAGAAGAGACTCAATCCCATAAACCCCCATGTTAAAACCCCCAAACTTTACAGCAGAAAAAAAAATATATTTGGTGCAAAAAGTGGTTTTGGCCTATTTCGCTAATTTTGCCCTTAATGACGACAAAACGTGCCATAGTTTGAGAACATACTAGTTCACCTATAATGTATAATGCCAGAGCTGTACATATATTTAAATACAACAAATTCTTGTTTTAATCTGTTTGTTTCCCAGGGAGTATCTTTACAAATAGGCATTTAGTGGTTTAGGTGTGCATGTATATATATATTATTAGTTAAAGGTGTTAGCCAAAGGGAGATTTAGAGAAAAGCTAGAGACCAGAGATGCAAATTATTATTTGCATCTTATATAAAATATTCTCTATGTATGCACCACCCATGTTTTGGCTGAATGTTTGTTTTTGTTTGATTGTCTATTCAAATAAACCAATAGGTAAATAAAAACAATGAATTCATGAGTTTAACCGAGGTTTAACACTCTTCAGACTGATCTGAGTTCAGTCACACTGAGAGTCTATAGACTAGAGCACTTTCCCCCGGGCCAGAGGAACCTGATGAGCACCTCACACACACACACTCGAGAACAGCTCTATTATTACAGGTGTGTATGAGGATACACAGCCTAGACAAAAGCCTAGTCTTCTTTAAATCAAATACTGATCCACTTCCGGTTGTGTTGGACACTACAAGCCATTTAAGCTGCTCTGTCAGCCAATCACAGTTGACCACGTCATTCTCATATAAACTGTCTTTCTCTTGTGTGATCAATCAGAAGACACAGTTGTGTGTGTGTATTAACGCCCGTCCACTATTTTTTACAGTCTATGGTCCACACTGCTAGTGTGTGTGTGTGTGATCTCATGAATTGCACACAGGAAGTTACGTGAGACTCAAGCTCTTCTACTGGACCACATCAGAATCTGACTGATCAAGTTTATTCAGTTCAGTCAGTGTTGCTCCAGCTAACGTTTTCACAACGTTACGAAAAGAACATTTGTTCAAAGTTAATGTTAACGTTGCATTCATGAAGATTTTGTCTGAAACGTTAACTTGAACGATCATTTGACGTGTTTTAATTGTTTCAGAGCGTCCAGAGAACATTCAAAAGTAACATTCCATAACTTTTAACAAATGACACGATGGACAGTTAATTCCTTTAACGTTCGGGTAACCAAGAAATAGTTAAACATAATGAGAACATCAAAAATAACCTTTTTATAACTTAATAGCAATCCAATCGGTTTTAGAGCATGCTTTTGTTTGCTGGGTCTCGCGAATGGATGAAGACCACTGACCTGTGTGAGCGCGTTCTCCACCTCGCGCGCCGCCGCGGCGCATTTCATCGCGGACTCCTCGTACCTAACGCTCGCGTGTTTGATCTCCGAAAGCTCGCGCTGGAAGTGCACGGACGCTAACACGACTCCGGCCGCGAGCGCCAGGGAAAACAACGCGCACACACACTTTATCATCATCATCAGCGCGTCGGACCCGGAGCCGCGGCTCGCGAGCGGAGCGTTCTCCGCTTTCACCGCGACTTTACCCGGGGTTTTCTTCGCCGCGTCATGGTCAGGCTGCGGGCTCGCGACGCCGCTGGAGTTCGAGTTTGAGCTGTTCTTGCTTCTGTTCTTCGCGGTCATCGTTCCGTGTGTCCAGCGTTCTGTGACGTCACCGAGCGTCGCGTTGCGTATCTGCTCTCATTACTTCACTCACTAGATAAGTTTGCTCAACTCTAGCCGATGCGTTCCCACTCGTTTGAACGACGCGAACGCTCAGTGTTAACTCCAGTGCTGCTGATGGTAAAGAAGATGATGATGATGATGAAGGCTGTCGTGTTGTCGTTTGCTCCACCCTTCTTCAGACGTGGCACTGATTTTCCTCAAACATCTGCATCCTCCCATCATGTCTATTACGTGTTTAGCGTTAAACGCCATGCAATTCATGTTTCAGCATTCTCTGATGCATAGAAAGTTCAAAAGAACACAATAAAAACTATTTCTGCGATATAGAAAACTTTTTTAATGGAAATCGTTGATTTTTTAAAAATCTTTTATATAAAAAACAGAATTAGGATTAGAAAACGATCTAATAATTTAAGTTGAAATTAATTGTACAGCCAGTTTTATTACAAATTTAAGTTATAGTTGAAATAGCATATAACTTAAGTATTATTTTTGAATTATCCAGGATCAGTAAACAAAACACATTGATTTGTACTCATTGAAACATGATTTAATTTCTCAATTTCTCAGATTTTCTATTGTTTATATAACGAAGATATTTAAGAAGTGAGATAAATTATGTGTCAAAATAAGGACAGGGCAGAATACCATTTGTAAACTTGGTTATGATTGAAGAATTTGCCATATCAAATAAAGAAATCATTCAATTAATCAATTATTGTACTCTAGGAGTAGCAGGCTACCGCTATATGAATGTATTTCTATCGTCATTATAATAAAAAAAGAATGTCTTTTAAACTGTGTCAAATGTGTCAAATTCGCAGAATGAAATATGTAAGAGCGTTATTATTTATTATTTAAATATTACTTTCAAGTGACGTAATGGCGTCACTGTCGCTCCTGTCCAATCAGAGGCTCCGCCACGCCCCCTCCCTCCTGCACGGCACGCGCTCGCTGGAGTGAGTGATGCGCGTGCGACTGCTAATATTAAACACAGTCTGCCAGAATGAGTGAAGACGAGCGCATTATCAACAGGTGGTTTTTCGACGTCTGTGTGTTCAAGGCGCTCGAGAGTTTCAGAAATGGAGACTACACGGATTTCGCGAAAATCACCAACGTTATCGAGAGTAAGTGGCGCGAGCGCCGAGTTTGTTTACATCGGCGCGCGCAAGTTAGCTTTAGCGCGGAGCTAAAAACAAACTCCGTCCGAAGTCCGTGAAAGTCCTTTTTTTTTAACAATGACAATTTATTTAATGGAATAAATTTAGTGCTTTGGAATACAGACGTAAGGTTGATCTCTCGTTAAAAAAAGCACTTAAAAAGACTTATTATAGAAGTTTGAGTTTACTGTATCATGCGAATGTGCTGTACTAAGGTTTGTTTTTAATTCTGTAACGTTACCAAAACAAAATAATTTGGACAATATTACCATCACGAATATGGATCCTCGAGTCTTTCCAGCACTATGTGGTGTGTCAAGATTAGAAAAGATGTAGTGCAGTGAAATTTGTTATATGAAACGATGTTTTCACAGGATGAATATGAAGTGTGTGTGCAGAGCTGATGTGTGTGATGCTGCTCATTTTTAATGTGGACAAAAATTAAATAATTTGGACCATATTATGATCACAGATTTGGATCCTCTAGTCTTTCCAACACTGTGTGTTGTGTCGAGATTAGATTAGGTGATTTTTGTAATATGAAACCATGTTGTTGTCAACAATGTTGAGTGTGTGTGATGCTGGTCATTAATACACATGTGTCACGTGGTGTTGTCAGGTATGGTGGTGCTGCCCATGGACGGGCGCGGAGACACGGTCCTGAAGCTGCGCTGCATGCAGTTCCTGTCCAGGGTCAACAACGGGGACAAGCTGGGTGAGTGAGCGTATGTGTGTGTGTGTGTGTCTGATGTGTGTTTCTGCCGCTGACGTGTGTGTGTGTGCCGCAGATCTGACGTTCGAGGAGCCGAAGACGCCGCTGGAGTCGGCTCTGGCCGTCCTGGAGTCGCTGTGCCGAGAGCTGGACGTCCCGCAGCGAGAGCAGCAGCGCGTGCACAACGCCATCACCGAGATGGTGAGACACGCGCACACACACACAATACACCAATCGCAGATATCCTACACTACACTACTGCGTTTTTAGGCACTCGAAATCTGCTGAATGGGAGTTTTACTCTGAGTAAATTATAAATTAGTTACTTTGTACTTGTACTTGAGTATATTTTAGACCGGTACTTTTACTTGTAGTAAAATTTTATTGAAGTAATAGTGCTTTTACTTGAGTAGAATATTTTAGTACTCTTTCCACCTCTGATTACTTCAGTGGCCTACTTCTCTGAAGCGATCAGTGACGTGTGTGTGTGTGCAGCTCATAGTGGTGTGCATCAGGGGTGGGGAGTTCGAGAAGGCGGAGGAGGTCCTGCACAGGCACTTCAGCACAGCCGCAGACTCAGCTGGGAAGGTGAGGGCCGCTCCTGATACTACATTCACTCATTTAATTAAAGAAGATCCAATAGGTTGTGCGATTATTGTCTAAACAAACATGTTTTCGGTGCGTCGACGCGTTCATGTAACCAGAGGGTGGCGCTGCCTATGGCAATTACGCACCTAACAGCGTTCACAAAAACCTGGCAAAAGCAACGATTATGAATGTGCCAAATATATCCAGGAGACATTTTAATTGTTAATTAATACACTGGTGTTTTCTGTGTCTGTGCTGACTTGCGATCTTCAGTAGTGAACGCGCCAGAGAGAAATGCACTTTTCATAGGGATTACATGAGCAGAGAGCAGTCTGTAGTCTGTTTTCTTTCATTTTGAATTGTTTTGTTTAAAAGTAGACATTTCAAGCTTTCTCTAGATATTTATGACATCTGAGTTGGGCTGGGTATCGATTCAGATGTTCAAATTCCATTTTGATTTTGATTCTCAATATATTCAACTATAAAGAATATAGATATGTAATACAAATCCTATATTTATAAAGCGAACAGTGTATAAATTAACCACTTGTAAACTTATGTCCAAAGAGCTTAAGAGCCACAAACCTGTATATAAAACTTTTTATTTTAGGTACACTATACAGTAAATGCATACAATGAATAGACAGGATTTTGATGCAAAATGCAGAATTGATGCTGAATGTTGGACAAGTCAGAACAGTCACACGCCTCGATCAAACAGGTTATTTTATGTTTAAGATAGATGGATAAATATATATCAGTTATCATTTTTAGACCAGTTTTTATTACATTGATCTCACCTAAATATATATATTTTTTTAGAATAGGGTTTTTTTTTTTTTTTTTGTTAAGGGTTTTTGCAACACATGGAAGCTTGATTTCAATCTTTGAATTAAATTGAAAAAAGTAGCACAAATAAATACAGGCATAAATAAATAAAGAGGCATAAAAAGAAACATTGTTTGGGTAGGTCAGAAATACTGCAGAAACTGAGTAAAGTAATCCAATGTAAAATAACACTGGATAGTCTTTTAGTCCAGACTGAATTAAATACATCGGCTATTAATTCTGATTGCTTACAATTAATGCTATATTATGTTGTTTTGACAACAAAATTAATGACAGATACAAATGGCTGCATTCACCTTAAGAACTAGTGCACGAATCCATTACCGTTTCATTTTATACACATTTTATGCTTATTTAAGACATAACCGACTGTGTTTACGAGATTACTCGGCAAGAACAGAGTTTTGACATAATTACGCGTGTTTTTAACTGTTAAAGCGATATAATCCACGAAAAACTGTACTACTGTATGTAGCCTATGTATGTGCGCGCAGTGAAAAACATCTGAGAGCACGCAAACAATGGATAGTTTAAAATTGCTTGAATCATTTAATCTGGTAAAACTTAAAAAGACGTAAAAATGATGAACGTTAGTTACGATGCAATGCTGAATATCGATTCTGAATCGACCACAATTTAAAAAATGATTAATCGAAAAATCTGTTTTTTTGCCCTGGTTCATATATGAGACGAGCTCCAGTTCACGCGCCGGCGCCTCCGTGTCCGGATTATATCGTCTGCTTTATTTACTTCTTATTTATTAAATCCAGGCAATTGGTCGATGAAACATTGATTAAATTTAAGATACGATTCATCTTTCTACAAAACAAAACTCAATGAAGTGGTCAAAATCATGTCTGGCCCACTCCATGTGTCTCCTGGAAGTCAGAAAATAACATTATAAAACATTTATTTAAACATAAATCGGAAACTAAAGTGTTTTTTTTAAAGGCTACAACACGTATGGTGAAGCGCAGAGAAATGTAATGTCGGAGTGAACGAGCATGTTTCAATAATAATGGGATAATTCCCATGCTTGTAATGCCCATCCCTTGTGTGTGTGTGTGTGTGGCAGAAGAAGCTGCTGGCGAGTCTGATCCAGCGGAGGCGCTCGTCTCACTCGGTTCTGCAGCTGATCTCCTACAGCGACTTCAAGCAGGACATGCTGGAGTTCATCGAGCGGCTGTACCGCGTGCCCGAGCCCTTCCTCACGCAGGTCTGACTCCTCTTCCTCACTGGGAAACCACGTCACCTTCATCTCTCGCTGAGCTGGAAGTGTGATATACCTGTCCGATTATATCGTGATGTTTTAACGATGTGCGGTTTGACATCAGGGGCTTTCGTAGGAACGGGCCGCCCGAGAACTAACGGTTCCCTTAGGAGCGTTTTCCTGGTTGCAAACACTGACATCAGTTCCTACAGCACTGGTTTAGACCTACTTTGAAGTAGGAGTAAATCAGTTCCTCCAAAAGGCGTTCCTGCGGTGCGAACACAAAGACATCTGGGAACTCTCACAGCGTTATGTAGTCTTGTAGTCTTTCATTGTGGGATTTACTTTATTTAAATGCCTCTATATTTAAGGTTTCAAGCTAAATACCTCTGTGTATCTATATCATTTAATATATTTAATCAATATCACACAAAGAGCACTTTTTTGTCTCATTGTTCTAATAGATTTTGATTTCATGTAAAAATGTATCAAAATAAATAAAGGATGCAGGTGTCAACACAATAAAAGCACTCAAGCTAAATATCGTAATGGAAAACATCGAGATGTCACACACCTCTAGACGCTGGTGACTGTGTGTGTTTGCCCTGCAGATGCTGAAGCGCTCTGGACATCTCCGCCTGAGCGCTGAGCCCACGACCACATCATCATCCTCATCATTATCGCCATCACGGGGGGGGCGGAGCTCCCCGCAGAAGCCCAGCACAGCAGCAGCCGAGGATCATGGGTACTAACACTCGCTGCACAGTTTCAGCTTCACATTAGGACTGCACACTGAAATAAACCGTTATGGACATGCACTTTATTTAAAAGTAGTGCTAAATATAGGAAAAACAAAGTACAGTTTGTATTTGAGCGTCTGTTAAATAACATACGATAGACAGTGAAAGTACAGGCTCAATTAAACATCTATTTGCCAAACAAATTAAGCTAACTAATATGATTCATCTGGAAAAAATGATATCGGTGCGTCTCTATCTAAATTACTACTTAGCTTGAAAAATGACAATTAACTTAAATCAAATAAGTGCTAAAATTAAATAAAAATAAATAAAATTGAAGTAGAAATATTTAAAAAACGCAAAGGTTCACTTCAGAAGTGACTCCTCCACGTCCTCCAAGATGCTCCTGTCTTTCTTTCTTCAATGGAGAATAAATGAAGGTTTTTGAGGAACACACTCCAGGATCTTTGTCCATATAGTGACTTCAGTGGGGTCCGACGGGTCGAAGGTCCAGATGTGAGTTTCAAAGTCTCGACACGATCCCACTAGGCTTGCCGCGATAGACGGTGTTGACGGTGTTACCGGTTTTAAGCCCCATCACCGGTGACATCACTTTCCCACCGTGACACCGCGATGTCTTGACTTTTTTTTTTTAAAGTATTCGTTTTTGCTAAAATATTTATTTGAATTAATTAAAAATAATAATTTTCAATTATTTAGTTCTGAAGAGAGCATTATAATTAAAAATGAACTGCGCAACGCGTGCCGTCACGTCACAGATCAGCAAGCATCAGGATTCCATTTAGCACGTGTGGAGACGAGAACGAGTCAAATTACAGAAAAGCAAGATAATGGCGGAAGATTTGGTGTCAAAACGCAATGCAAAAGCGCCTGTTTGGCAATATTTTGGCCAATATATATTAATGTTAATAAATGCCAATTTATAGTGTTTTACTTTTTTTTAGAGTGCTGTCATTTATGTAGGCTAAGGTCCTTTTTAAAGTTTTTATTTTATATTCGTCTCTTTTTATTTGGTTTTATCTTATTTAAACTTTGTTTAATTTATTTAGGCCTATTTTGTTTTCTTATTCGTTAATAAACGTTTTATTTTTTTTGGGCCCACAGTTTGCCGATTTTCACTTTTTTCAGCCTATGCATGGGTTATTTTTATTCGTTCGTTATGCTAATAAAAGTTCTGTCTATATTTTATTCGTTTATTATTCTAATAAAAGTGCTGTCTAAATAAAAGTTTATTGTCAGCGAGTTGTTTTTTTTTTTTTTTTTTTGTCCATTCCAGCAATTGACGCTGAATTGCAATTGACGCTTATTTCGAAAGTGAAAGTATGTCATTTATGTAGGCTAAGGTCCGTTTTGAAGTTTTTATTTTATATTCGTCTCTTTTTAATTGGTTTTATCTCATTTAAACTTTGTGTAATTTATTTAGGCCTATTTTATTTTCTTATTCGTTAATAAACGTTTTATGGTTCTTATTTGTTTGGGCCCACATTTTGCCGATTTTCACTTTTTTCAGCCTATGCATGGGGTTATTTTTATTCGTTCGTTATGCTAATAAAAGTCTATAAATAAAAGTTTTATTATCAGCGAGTTGTTTTTTTTGTCCATTCAAGCAATTGACGCTTATTTCGAAAGTGAAAGTATAACGCGCACGCATTTAAAAGCTATTTAACCCCCCCGCCCTGCCCTCCACGGTGACCCCGGGATTACCGGTGTTGTCACACGTCGATTAACCGGTGGGAAATTTTCCTCACCGCGGCAACCCTAGATCCCACAAATGCTCATCTTGCAGGTCCTCGACTTCACGCACTCACGTTGAAAGGTCACATGTGTTCAAAAATGTAAGATAAGGTGAAAACTCCCTCTCATTTTCTCCTCCAACTTCAAAATGGTCCAACATAGTTTTTACAATTATTATTATTATTTTTATTTTTCTAAACGGCGTTTGACTTAGTCTTTTGCACGTCTCTCTTTGTAAACTCTGGGACCCCTTTCATGCTATTGTGTTTTCGTTTAAAAACGGAGACCTTTTGCTACGTTTGCACCTCCTGTCCAGACTAAAACGGACAAAACGAAGACCTAAAACGGAGAAGTTTAGAAACGCTACAGCTCCGTTTTGCGTTTTGAATCTCCGGAGGGCGTTTTAGTGTGGACGAGACGAAACGGAGGACTTCAGAAACGCTGACGCAGAGGCTGACGCTCGGCTCTATGATTGGGTGTTATCAGTCATGACGTATCCTTCCCTGATTCGCCAATCACTGTTTACACCAGCCCAGTGTTGGTGAATGGTCACGTGATCCGCGTTTGCAGTCGTTTTAATGTGGACGGAGATCATTCTAATACGCAGATAAAACGCTGGTGTGGTCGGAGATCGTATTCGTTTTAATTCTCCGTTTTTAAACGAAAACACAGTAGTGTGGACGGGGCGTAGGTCTGTTCTTCCGCCTCTGTCACGCTTGACCTTTCATCCTGATTATGTAATGTGTGTCGCATCGATGTGCGATACAAGCAACTGTGGTTAAAAAGTGAACAAATGTTTATTTTTGTTATAAATGTCGGCTGGTTTGTCTAGATCAGACTCGTATTCCTCGGCTGGATCATGTCGAGACTTAGAAGCTGCACTGAAACTCACATCTTGGGGTCACTATATGGAGAAACATCCTGGAATGTTTTCCTTAAACCTTCATTTATTTTCCACTGAAGGAAGAAAGACATGAGCATGACGTGGGGGAGAGTGAGTCATCAGGAAACTTTACTTGTGAAGTACACGTGCCCCTGCCTGACGTGAGCCGTGTGTGTGTGTGTGTGTGTCAGCGGCGTGTGCTGTGTGAGTCTGCAGAGTGTGCGGCAGGTGTACGGCGAGCTGTGTGAGGAGTGTGGCGCGAGCGTGCCGTTCTCTCGGCTCCTGGAGGAGGTGGAGCTGGAGGCGCAGCAGCCGAGCCGAGAGTCGCCCGAGGCCGAGCTCCACCTGGCTCTGTCCGAGACGCCCATGGAGCCGGCGGAGAGGCTGTGCGCCCTCGAGCCGCGCGTCACCTTACGCCGCTACACTGGCATGACCATATCACGCCTGGTCACGGAGGAGGACAGCCAGCTCAGCGGAGACGACTCCCAGGACATCTCGCGGATCAGCGGCTGCGCACCCCTCCAGAGGTCACCTCAGAGGTCACTGGCACGACTGTTCACACCTGCGAGAGCTAGTGTCCTAGTTATCGCCATACTCATCCTCATAGTGTTGTCCTTCTCTAAAGGCAGACTGTGTTTTCCAGGCTCATCATTCACAGTGATCCAGAGTCGGAGGATATCGAGACTGTCAGACGAAAATCCACAGAGAAGAAGCGTGATGACAGGTTAAATAAAGACTTTTACTACAGTTCCTATAGCTATCAATTAGGGGTGGAGCCGAATCCGAATACGGTATTCGGAAAGGTACAAATAATGTGGTTTTTACGAATAGTTATTCGGAACAAATACTTAAAAAAATATTTGTATTCGGGAACAAGAAATACTTTATATCAAAAAGCTGCGTTCCTCACGAGACCGCAGTGCGCGAGTTGAGTGAGTGACGTTCAGGAAGAGGTGACTGACACAGGCTGCTCCACACAGCAACAGAGAGGGCTCGGCTGAGCGAAAAAAAAAAACACTTAACTGCATCACTATTTTTGTTTAATAGATAAGTACCTTAACTATGTTCCGGTGGCAGTTTATAACTTTCGGGAAGCGGAGTTTGATCGGGAGTATATTCCATTATTGACGTCTGCAGACGGGTGCTTTCATGTTCGCTCTGTTTACGTAGCTCTGTTAGCTCGGTAACGGTAATTATTTGTTTCATGGCTTGATTGAATTCTAATGTAGAATGCGGTCTGTTATTATAACAGGCCGCTGCTTATAAGTATAACACACCGTTGCTATGAAAAACAGAGCGTTGCCATGGATTCTAAACGTAGAGACAGAACGGACTATTTTTCTTTTTTTAGCGGGAGCGATACAATCGTTTTTTAAATCAATAAACTCCTTTTTATATCCATATTTTGAGTCAAATTATTGATTTATTTGGTAGGTAGCCATGTAATAAGCGGGGTAATGTAGAGCGAGGCGTTGTTATAGCGAAAACCCTTCAGGCTTCGCGTCGGGCTCATAATCAACCTCCTCACTATAAATTATCCATATAACTTATTCTGTCTGCACAGCGTCCTCCACCGTGGTGTTGGGGTTCATAATGTTCACAATTGTATTTTATTAGTTGTTGGTTTAACCATGGTTCATGAGGTAATGGCTGACTGTTATTTTCTTTTCAATGACTTTTCTTGTTACATGTTCATTGCTGGATTTATAGAAAAAATCAACCAATATTGCATATCCATAATTATTATAATGGATATAATTAAAGAATCCATACACTATAAAGTATTTTTAAAGATTTTTATGCCTATTTTGAATTTTACTCGAATACAAATACAAATACAAATACTTTTCCTCCCTGAACAAATACAAATACAAATACAAATAGCGGCTGCTTTGCACACCCCTACTATCAATATAGTTAACGCTAAAGATATCTTTATAGTCATCATCATAGTGTTATAGCTATCAATATGTTTATCACTAAAGATATCGTTATAGTCATTGTCATTGTCCATGGATCCAGGATAATATGCATCCTGATAAAGTTCCCTTGGCCTTTGGGATTAAAATATCCCCACATCATCACACACCTTCACCACACCTAGAGATTAGCATGGGGTACTTTCCATAAGATCATCTTTCAATGCAAATCAAACCAGCTATTAGGCGAACTGAAATAAAACCATGCCAATCTCTAGGTGTGGTGAATGGTGTGTGATGATGTGGGGATTTTTTAATCCCAAAGGTCAAGGGAACTTTATCAGGATGCATATTATCCTGGATCCATGAAATAACTGGCTTTTAAAAATAAAAATCTGCCTGACTCTATGGGAATTTAACATAGGGGGGCAATGACTTATGCACCCTGTATTTTAAGGAAAAACATTTATTTATTTATGATACATTATTCATTCACAAAGAAAATTGGTGTCCAAAGAAAAGGTTGGAGTTTTCCTCATTTTTCTAATTAAGGCATTAAGATCAATATCCAAAAGATGATTTTTTTATTCCTCTTTTTAGGCAACTTTAGCATGGGTGCCAAAACTTATTCACACCACTGTAGCTATCAATATAGGGATCACTATAGTTATCGTTATAGTCATCGCCATAGTGTTATAGCTATCAATATGTTTATCGCTAAAGTTATCGTGATAATCTTCGTCATAGTTTTATAGCTGTCAATATAGTTATCATTATAGTCATCATCATAGTGGTATAGCTATCAATATAGTTATCGTCTTCATGATAGTGTTGTAATTGTCCTTCTCTAAAGGCAGACTGTGTTTTCCAGGCTCATCATTCACAGTGATCCAGAGTCGGAGGATATCGAGACTGTCAGACGAAAATCCACAGACAACCAGCGTGATGACAGGTTAAATAAAGACTTTTACTACAGTCCTTATAGCTATCAATATAGTTAACGCTAAAGTTATCTTTATAGTCATCGTTATAGTTTTATTGCTATCGATTTATCAATATAGTTATCGTTATAGTCATCGCCATAGTGGTATAGCTATCAATATAGTTATCGTTATAGTCATCGCCATAGTGGTATAGCTATCAATATAGTTATCGGTAAAGTTATCCTTATCGGCTTCCTGAAAGTGTTGTAGTTGTCCTTCTCTAACAGGTTAAATTAAGACTTTTACTATAGTCCTTATAGCTATCAGTATAGTTATCATTAAAGTTATCTTTATAGTCATCATCATAGTGTTATAGCTATCAATATAGTTATCGTTAAAGTTATCTTTATAGTCATCATCATAGTGTTATAGCTATCAATATAGTTATCGTTAAAGTTATCGTTATAGTCATCGCCATAGTGTTGTAGGTATCAATATGGTTATCGTTATAGTCATCGCCATAGTGTTGTAGGTATCAATATGGTTATCGTTATAGTGGTATAGCTATCAATATAGTTAAAAAAAAATTGACAATTGACAGAAATATACTGGAAATATTACATTTGACAGGGTTCGAACAGAGAGTCATGAAACCCCTGGAAAAGTTTTGGAAAAAAAATTATCTGTCAGACACTCGGGGAAGAAAACACACAACAGCCGCAGGTGTGTGAACACGTCACTGATACACTGTTGCCAGATAAACACGATCGCACTGATATCCCATAATGCTCATGTTGACGGCTGGTGTGATGCGGTGTGTGATGCGGTGTGTGTGTGTGTTCTCAGGGTGGTTTTGTCCAGTGGTGAGGAGTGTGAGGATCCTCCGTCTGACAGACACGCAGCCGGACAGGAGCCGCATGACAGCAGGTGCCTTCAGTACACACACACACACACACACACACACACACTCAAGTTGATGATACACAACGTTTTGAGCAATGATCCTGGGCAGTGTTGGCGTCACCAGGTGTGACCCACGACCCACGACCCATCTCAGTTACCCAGATGGACATTTATTATTTTTCGCCAATTTTCAAAAAGTTGCCCTGCGTATCATCACCTTCACACTCACACACACGTACACACACACACACACACACACACACACAAAGTGCCAAAACAACATTGCCCTGTGTATCATCATCTTCACACGACGAAAGCAGAGCCGTGGAGAGCCGCTTCGCCATGCTTTCAGTGGAAACGCGGCTGTTGTTCTGATGCCGTCATGAGCTGAATGACGGGAGGGGTTGTGTCGCACAGATTTGCTTCCCCGTCTCTCTGCATTTTCCCCAGACATACGCTCTTCTCCCACACAAAAAAACAATTTCATTCCAAATATGTAAAATTCCGCGAAATTCCGCGTTAACACTAGATTCCGCGTTAATTGGCCGATTCCGTGATCGCGGAAATTATAGGGCCCTAATCATCATCTTTGCACACGCTCACACACGTGCACGCACTCACTCACACACACACTCATGTGTTGACATCAGCAGAGTGCAGTGTGTGTTTAGGGTGTGTTGTTTTACTAGTGACCTAGACAGTGCTTGCCTGTAACTGAGTGTGTGTGTGTGTGTGTGTTTCTCAGTGACCCAGAGTGTGTGTTGGAGGAGCGTGCGGCGCCCCAGAGCTCGACTCCTGCGCACCACAGCAGAACCGCTCAGAGCGATCACAGGTGTGTGTGTGTGTGTGTGTATAAGGGTGGGCATTTGTCACAATCGTATGGGCTCATAAATATCTAATATTAGTTTATTTTAATGACGTTTAGCGAGAGCGTTTTTGTCACCGTTTCTGATCAATCTCACGATACATCTTTAGGTTTTCTTTTAGTGGAAACCAATAAACAATGTGTGTAAACAAAAAATATAAATAACAAACAGCGCTAACGCTAATCAAGCAGACCGCGCCTCCCATCTCACAGAACGCACATATACACTCGTGAGCGTTTGATTATCAGTGTGTTTATGTTGTTTCACGTGTTCATGTTGAGGAAGCCAGTAATATCCCCATGCTCGACTGAGAGCGCTGATGGACGTGTCACACACACACACACAAAGAGAGAAGTTTCCAACAGCACTCACACACAAACCAGTGTTAATTTAACATTAGCGAGCAGCTCCTGTGTGAACGGCTTTAATAACACCTATAAAGCTGACCGCCATCACACACATCTCTGCTATTATCAATCAATCCTTCATAATATACACGCGTTGTTTGTTATAATCAAAAGATATGCCAGCAAACACAATTCAGTCAGTTTTGAGCGGTGATGAAGTCTATCTTAAACGCTTCTGATTGGCCGTTGGGTTCAAGAAATCAGCACATATGTCTGTGATTGGCTACATCGCTCAACGCTGCAAACGTGTTTTAATAGTCGGGGAGCCAAAGTCTCAAAAGCTCAATAAAATGGGTTGAACATGACATGGTCTGCCATAATTTTTATTTGTGTTTTATCTGTTAACCGTTAGATCAAATAATTGGAGGGTCTGCTCTGCCGGAAATATCGCGGGAAAAAAAATTGTGGACATTTTAGTGCATGCACCCAATATTTTTTATCAGAAAAATGTGAAAAATTATTTTTTTTCATCAAATCCTTAGTTGGTCGGGTAGGTTGTCAATAAATGCATTCCAGATACACAGAACACATGTGCGGACAACATCCACTGAAAAAATAACTCTTAAAACACATTCCTACATGATCTTGCATCAATTTAATAATAAAAAAAAAGGCGTTTTCTAAATGTTTTCCACTATTTTCATCTTTACTTCATTGGTAATCAACTATTCCCTTAAGTTATGACATCAGTCAATAAGCCATTCTTTTCCCCAAACACTGAACTCATTACACAGAATTCCTTCCCGCCCTCAAACTCTCACAAACTGACAACAGAGACGTGAATAGCCCCTCCTCTTTGAGCACGATATTATGAATCATGCGTTGAAAGACGGATTGTAGCCGGTGTTTATTCCTCCAGAATCAATCCGGAGTTGAATGGTCCGTATAATGAACACTATAACTCTAAAAGTTAGTCTGTTAAATGCTGTCGTGTTTCCACCACAGATTCGCACAGTTTACTAAAACGTCATATTTTCCTCTCACGATCAGCCATTCCAAAAAACATGGCGACGGACGTTAGTATGTTTAAATATATCACAGAGCCACCACACTAGACATTACTATATTATTATTACTGATAACGAGACGTAGGCCTAAGTGTGTTATCCACGCATTAATGGCAAGGAAAGACTCGTATACTGTGAGCGGCTCATGATGAGGTGTTTTCTCACTCATTTCTGCTCTGAGCTCTCCGAGCTATATAGACAAGACCCATACCAGTGTTTTTGTAACTAGGCCTGGGTCCCCTGAGTACACTAGTTTTCTTGTCGGTGCCGTCACAGATTCCTGCAGTCAAGCTTATGTACATTCATATTCCAATGAAGGTTATTGATAACATGCTTACAATACATATAAGCACCCCCCACACACACACACACACACAGATGTCTTCATCACAGAATACATGTTTAGTTGATCAAAGCGGCTGCTCAAATATATTTGAGCGTGGATTATTCTTCTGTTGTACAGGTGTACATTCACTCTCGTGGATCATTAGCCTCTAATATATATATTTATATCAGTTTACATTCTGACTGTGTTGTGAACGCCTATTACCACTGTATAAGATTTGGCATGTCATTATTTAGCACAAGCGTGTCCTTGTTTACACTGTCCAGTAGCTGACTGTAGTGTGTGTGTGTGTGTGTGTGTGTAGTAGTGGTGAATCGCGCTCAACTCCGTCTGTCAGACGCTCGGGGAAGAAAACACACAACAGCCGCAGGTGTGTGAACACGTCACTGATACACTGTTACCAGATAAACATGATCACACTGATATCCCATAATGCTCATGTAAACGGCTGGTGTGATGCGGTGTGTGTGTGTGTGTGTGTGTGTTCTCAGTGTGGTTTTGTCCAGTGATGAGGAGTGTGAGGATCCTCCGTCTGACAGACACGCAGCCGGACAGGAGCCGCATGACAGCAGGTGCCTTCAGTTACACACACACACACACACACACACACACACACACACACTCAAGGTGATGATACACAACGTTTTGAGCAATGATCCTGGGCAGAAAGTGTATGAAAGTGAGGCTGTGAGGGATAGACTCACTGTGTTTCCAATGGCATCCGCTGTAAAAAGCTGAATAAAGCGGTTAGATTACTGACAATTTTCCACAGCTTACATTGTCGGGAGTTTTTTGTCAACTGACATTTCTTGGAAAGATATTTTTCCAGTGTTTCATGAGCAGAACAATCCGAAAACACATTAAATAACAATACAGCCCATTGAAGAGATGCAAGTCTATCCCTCACAGCCTCGCTTTCATTCTCATTAAAAATCAAAGATGGCGCTGCCGTGAATAAGGCGTATAGATCCAGATTTGTTATTTTTCACCCATTTTCAAAAAGTTGCCCTGTGTATTATCATCTTCACACTCGCACACACACATTCACGCTCGCACTCACTAACACACACACACACACTCATGTGTTGACATCAGCAGAGTGCAGTGTGTGTTTAGTGTGTGTTGTTTTACTAGTGACCTAGACAGTGCTTGCCTGTAACTGAGAGTGTGTGTGTGTGTGTGTGTGTGTGTGTGTGTTTCTCAGTGACCCAGAGTGTGTGTTGGAGGAGTGTGCGGCGCCCCAGAGCTCGACTCCTGCGCACCACAGCAGAACCGCTCAGAGCGATCACAGGTGTGTGTGTGTGTGTGTGTATAAGGGTGGGCATTTGTCACAATCGTATGGGCTCATAAATATCTAATATTAGTTTATTTAAATGACGTTTAGCGAGAGAGTTTTTGTCACCGTTTCTGATCAATCTCACGATACATCTTTAGGTTTTCTTTTAGTGGAAACCAATAAACAATGTGTGTAAACAAAAAATATAAATAACAAACAGCGCTAACGCTAATCAAGCAGACCGCGCCTCCTATCTCACAGAATGCACGTATACACATAGATGTGTCACACACTCACACACACATAACGGTGTGCTAAGAAGTTTCCAACAGCACTCACACACAAACCAGTGTTAATTTAACATTAGCGAGCAGCTCCTGTGTGAACGGCTTTAATAACACATATAAAGCTGACCACCATCACACACACCTCTGCTATTATCAATCAATCTTCATAATATACAGTAGTGATGCGCGGGTCGACTCGGACCCCGGGTTGGGGCGGGTAAAGAAATTGTCACTTTATTGTTGGGGCGGGTCATTTTTTAATTTTTTTACCCATATATGGTGCTTGCAATTTCCAGCCTATATTAAATATTTGGGAATATCTATTTTCATATTTTATAAGGTTATTTGATGAGGTTACAATACGATTTCCGTAGCAATGTAACTTGCGTGAGGTTCCCAAACCTTTGGTGTCACGTGACGCGTCAGGAAAAAGACATGAATATCTATTGGTACTACATGGATCACATGACTAAACTTACGTCATCGTTTTGAAATACCTCCGATTTCACTGTCCACACTACAACGCGAAAACGCCGTTTTCAAATTTATCCACTTTGGAGAGTGTTTTCCAAACGATATGTTTTTGTTGAGTTAAAACGGCGTCTCAGTGTGGACGGAAGGCCAAAACGGAGAGAAAAATATACGTTTTCAAACGAAAACGTATTAGTGTGGACATGGCCTTGAAGTGTGCTGTCTCGCCCGTCGGTATATTTTCCTTACGAATGCTCTACGAAGTCATCATTGATGTGGTTTGGAATGCAGTGGACTTATATATTTAAAATATGATCCTCACAAGATGTAAACAACACTGGTCCAGAAGCACTTCCTGTTTCAGTTTTTTAACACTATATAAAAGCTGGGATAAAATACAACCAACAGAACATTTAAAACTGAATCAAAAAGTTAAACAAACATCTTTACATATATGAAATAAAGAAAACAGTTACAAACTGAAACAGGAAGTGCTTCTGGACCAGTGTTGTTTACATCTTGTGAAATGGTCTATAACGGAAGACTGCTTTCAATTTCAAATCCTCACGCACGCTTTGTTTGTGTACTGCTCGCATGCAGCTGCGTCTCCGTGGTTTAATGGACTTGTGCAAAATTAACGTAAACACAGCCAGTTATGTCTAAGGGATTAAACGGACAGGACAAACCACATTACTTCTTACATTTCAAACGAGATGCGTGCGTGAATGCAGCTTAATAGATCTCCCACAGCAGTCTATGAAAAAACTACAGTAAAGATGAAGAAAATTCACTGATTCACAGATAATCTATAGGCTACTGAAAGCACTCTTTGTTTGTTGTTTGTTACCTGTTTCTATGCTCCTCTTTATTTTTTGCTACTTGCTTGTATGTTTAGAAGTTAAATTAGTTTAAAATTCTTAACATACAGCTGTTTTAATTATTTTGTAGAAAATTTGTAATTATTTAGATAAGCAGGCCTACTTAATTATGTAAACTAATGAATTAATAAGGGGGGGAAGTAAAGAATCGTTCTGAATCGGATCGGATCGTGAGGTGACCAAAGATTCCCACCCCTATTCTAAATATGTTATAATGTTTGGGAGCGGTTCTCAGAAGTAGACAACAGTAGTCTCGGCTACCTGAAGTGCAACTCGTGTGGAAATATACAAACAGTAGCGCCACAAAACGGGCACTTCCAGCATGTCAAGACATATTTGTGAGGGTCTAAGAAATAAAAAATGGTTTAGCCTATTAGATAAATACAAATGCTTTGTAAATGTTGAAAATGTTTATTAATATGACCTGATTTATGGTTAATATTCATAATCGTCTGTTGTTGCCAGTTTACAGGGCGATGTTTCCAAGCACTCTCAGGCTGAAATAAAGGCCATTTTCATTTGCATTACAATGCCTAGTAGCTACTAACGTTATGTCTATTTAACGGTCGCGGGCGTAAAAATAGAGACAGCGGTGCGGGGCGGGCCAAATAATTTCATAAAAGCGGGAACCGCGGGTTGGAAACGGGTTATAATCAGACGATTTGCCAGCAAACAGAATTCAGCACTGATTAAAAAAGTCAGTTTTCAGCGGTGATGGAGTCCATCGTAAACGCTTCTGATTGGCCGTTGGGTTCAAGAAATAAACACGTATATCTGTGATTGGCTACATCGCTCAACGCTGCAAACGTGTTATAATAGAAACTCTGGCCTGTAAATCGTTTCTATTTTGTTTTAGTTGTTCTGGTTGCTTTTCTGTAACAGATGAATACAAATCTATTAGTTTTCAAATGTTTTATTCATAGATATTTCTAGTTCATAGCTGTCAACATTGAACATTGAAAATATGGGAGTTTTCCCGGAATCCATCCCCAAAATAAGGGATTTTTTTAAACTTTAAAAATAAAGCACAATCCTTAAAAGTCTAAGGTGTTCATAACTAGCCTATGTGTGACAGAGAAAGACACAGTGTCATTTAAAGGGAAAAAAAATCTACATTTGGATTAGCATGTGTTGCTCTAGCATTTGGACAACAATTTCAACATTTAGCCTATCACACGTCTTCTAAAATCTGCAAAATAGGGAAGTGGGCTGTCTGTTTATTTCAATTACATTTACACATTTTGTGTAGCTTTAAAGAGCCTATTTAGCCTGATGGTGGACCATCACTCAGAAGACACACTATCTTTATATCCTCCTATAGGCCCAGAACGTTTTTTTTTTTTTTTCAAGTTTTTTTTTTTCTTCTTCATGTAATCACATTGTTAAGAGCATAAGAAACAAATGGAAAAAAATAAAATATATTTTATTCATATATTTGAAAATCTATTTATAATAATTATTATTTGTTTAAATTACATTGATATCTGAATTTATGTAAAAACCTAGACTTTCAAACATCAAAATGTAATGTAAACGCAAAGAAATTCCAGGCAAAAAACACGCTTGCCTGTCCCGTGAAAAATAGGCGTCAGTTCAATTTCTAGCATGCACGCGTTTTCTGAAGTCACGTGTCACGCAGGCAGCGTGCAATAAAAACAGACATGCCACGCAGCCAGTGTGTCTCCGGCCAGCGCGCGCGGCACCGCATCCGAGGATAAACGACTTCAAGCCGAATCTGTCCGAGCTCGTACATCTCACACAATCAGAGAGTAAAAATACGGTATATTTTACGGGAAAATACTAAAACGGGAAGACAGCGGGAAAAGAGCTAAAATACGTGAGAAACCCGGAAAAAACGGGAGAGTTGACAGCTATGTTCTAGTTTGCGGGAGTCCCGTGATTGGTTTTATTCTCCTGCACACACAGAGTGAGCGCATTACTCGGCCATCAGATCTAGTGCCAGGGTCGGGTCGGGTCAAGCTCGGGCAGTGAATCTAAGCTCAAGCGAGAGAGTGTGTGTGTGTGTTGGACTGACTGCTGTGTTCCTCCTGTGTGCAGTGAGTCTGAGGTTCACAGCACTCGCCCGCAGGTGCGCAGCTCTCCAGCCGACAGCCGCTCCTCGTCCTCAGGGAAGCGCAGCGCCAAGAGGTGAGTGTGTGTGTGTGTGTGTGTGTGTGTGTGAGAGTGTGAACACACACTAACTGACGCTGTCTCTCTCAGGGCCCCGTGGCAGGACGCGTCAGGGGTTCAGGAGGACTGGAGTGACGAGGAGTCTCTGTTCGGCACCGCTTCAGGTACACACACACACACACACACAGCTGTAGGGCCAGACATGAGAAATTTCAATGTTTTTTTAATGATACTTTGAAGCCGCCAGTATGAGTCATTGAATCATCCACTCAACCGATTCACTCAAAAGACTGATTCTTGTGTTGATGAATGATCAGGAATGAACGGCTTTGTTTGCAGTTATATTTCAGAAACAGTATAGTGCAGAGTCAATAGCCATGTTTCCATCCACTTGTCAATCGAATTATCTGAAATTCGGTTAAAAAACACATGCGGATAAAGCTGGTGAAAGTGTGTTTCCATCCAACGGCTTTAAAGCGAATAAAAACCTGTACGTAATGACGTCACATGCTGTTTTGCGATCGAATTGATTTGAGACATTTTAAGTTTCCATTTATTTTCGCACTAAATCGAACAACATTCAAGCAAACTTTTGCGAACAAAGTTTTGTTAGACAAAACGGATCGCGCCATCTACCAAAAAATGATCAATATTTCAGAAGTTGAAGGCTAATAATGCTTATGTGCCAGCTGATAGCGACATATGAATGGGATAATGTATGCGAGGCGGTTGTTGGTTGTATTCGCTATAACAACCGCCTCGCTATATATTATCCTGCTTATTAGCCTACATATAAATCAACCAAATAATAAATAATTTGACACAAAATATTGACTTAAAAACGAGTTTATTGATTTAAAAACGAGTATTGCTTCTGCTAAAGAAAATAGTCTGTTCCGTCTCTGAACTGCGTCCATGGCAACGGTGTGTTATAGCAGCGCCGCGTCTGTTAACTAGAAATAACAGACCACATTCTACATTACAATTCAACCAAGCCACGTAAAAACAAGCAAAACTAACCTAAGAAAACAGCGACGCTATAAACATTGCTATGATGATGCCGATGCACGTATGCCCGACGACAGCGGAGGTGACTGTGGTGTGGGAACGAGCGCCGCATCAGTTCTGGGAGATCGTGGTTCACGGAAACCCTTTGGTTGAAGCATCTTTTTGCTTTGTCCACTTACATCTGTCTTTGTTGACGTCATCCGCCATGTGTGCGCAAACAGGCTGGCCGGAAATGAACTCGTCTTCTGACGTGTTGCAACCATAAAAGGGCATAAAACTTAATCGCAATTCATTATTTATTCGGCAAATAACGTTTCCATCAGCTTTTATCGCATTAGCCGTATATCGATCAAGAGAAAATCCGATGAGACCGAACGTATTTCATTTGAGTCGATTTTCATGAAATTTCATCGAATTTTACTGTTTCCATAAGGCATTTTTCATTCGATATCACTTAATTCGGATAAAAACGTGTCGATGGAAACATGGCTAATATCTCAGATGCAGTCTATCATACAGAAAGACGAGGCATTTCCCCTTCATATAGTGATTATCAGGCTCAATCTAGCGGTGTCCTACTAAACTATGGCACTCGCCGGCTCGTTTACACACACAGCTTGTGTTTCGGACTGAATTCATGAATTATACCTGATCGTATCCCATATATAATCATGATGTCATGATTGGCGGTGCGCATGTCACACACACTTACGTTTCTGCTTCACGTTTGTGTCTGCAGGTCCATCCCACAAGAAGACCAAGAGGTACACCAGGAAGGTGCGTGTGTGTGTGTGTGTTTGAGATGTAGTGTCTTCCTCAGTGCATAACTCATGTTTCACAGGTATATTCTCATCTGTAAATGCTAGAAACTCCTGCAAATATTCCCATTTGAGTGAGTGTCCGCTAAACTCCGGTGATTTCCGTGAAACACATTATTATTGCGCTCCTATCAGGGCTCTAGAGTGTGACCAAAATATGTAAGTGTGTGAATAAAATTTGTCCTAGGTTTTTCCTAACATCCTGGCATCCGCTGCCTCTCCTCGAACAAAGCGCTTGTTCTCCTGGGTGGATCTTATCATGGTCTAAACCAATCAGAGACAGAGCTGGGGCGGGTCTTCGCCTCTGATTGGCTGTGAAGGTCCAGAGTCTGTCAGTGAAATGTGTCCCAATGCCGATGTTTTGCTCATATGTGTTCTATGACGGTGTAAACGCCCTCGACTAGCTTGCTCTAACATTTCGGACCTACGTCTCCTGGGTAAAGCCACGATCTCATGAGTGCGTATCTACACCAAAGGTTTTATTTCTCATGCCATTTACGCCAAAAATAGTTTTTGTGTGCATGATACACTCTTTATGGCATGTAATACTGATGTTTACAGTGAGTATCATATATGCACGCAACTATTTTGTGGCGTATAAATGGCAGGAGAAATTAAATTTGTGCTATAGATACGCATGTTGTATGTTCCCACAGTCCTGAGATCTCTCGTTGAGCGCTCGTCCATCTGTGCAGGGCTCACAGTCTAAATAACGTGTAAACGGACAGCCAAAATAATCGTATATAGGCCACAAATCAGCATTGCATGCACAGTATAATTGTGCTACAAATAAAAATGAAATCATTTGCGTAATATATATGAATGTATATGAGCGTGATAAAAAGGTGACCTTGAAATTGTGGCTTTAAAGGCAAAGCAAGCTGAGCAAAAAATTGAGTTATCGCACCAGTGCAACCACGGCAAAAAGTTGAGGAAAACAATATACATATTGCTTAAATATTTGTAGTTGAACATTTAATGTGCCATATTGTAGAATTTAGACCTCATGTAAGTGTGTTTTCAGCAGTCACTGTTCTGGGGTAATCAGTCTGCGCTTTTGTATTTATTTTCACTGTAGTGTATTTAAAAAGAAAATCATTAGTTTTTTGTTTTTAGATTGTTATAAAGTCATGTGATTTAACCCATTTTTGCACATATATATAGTAGGGCTGGGTATTTACACAAATTTCACAATTTGATTCGATTTCGATTCACACGCTTGCAATTCGATTCGATTGTGATTTTGATTCAATATCGATTATTTTGGATATCAGTTACAATAAATGGCAAATTTTCTCAGGGAAATCGAATCTCTGAACTAATGCTGTAAACTATGGGAGTCTAGTTGGGCTTCATTAGCCTAATATGAAGGTAATAATGAACTGTTTTGTAGCTATACAAACACTTAAATTACACTTTTATTTATTTTTATAATAAGAAGATTATATGAAATATAAACATTTAAATCGTGGCTGTCATAAAAACTTGCCAGATTTATTCAAATATGCATTACATATTGAAGGACATTAAGATTATAATGCATATGTAATATGGTGTATATATTTAGAGTTATTTTTTCTAGATGACTAACGAGTTTATGTGGGTTTTCTGAGGTAAATATGACGATGACATTGATTACAAGCTGTTTAACTGACGTCTTTCCACGGTTGAAACGCAGATTGAGCGAATCAATGTGACATGATACGGATTTGGATAAGTTGTACTCTATCTTTAACACACTTTCAGATGCTCATTCATGTTTATTTGGCGCTGTGACTGGTATTATTAAGCCGGAAGAGAGATCAGCGCTGCTGCTTCTCCAGAGCGATCTCACGCCACAGCGACAAAACGCTATTTATGTTTTTGAATTTCTGAACAAAATGGACGTAACTTGAAAATTGAGACTTTGTTTCATATCAATAGTAACAAAGGACAAAGATTATTGCGATTTTTTTGGATGCGCGCAGCCGCGATACAATGATCCATTCATTCAAATGAAACAGGATGACTAATCGATTATTTGAGATTTAAGAATCGATATCGGTTCGTAAAAATGAGAATTAATTAATATCGAGAAATCGATATTTATTACCCAGCCCTAATATATAGCATAGACCACATGGGTAAACTCGTATATAGGCTAGCTGTTGTCATAGCCTTCAAAGTGAACACTGTTTGTAGGACAACATGGGGCAGGATGTGAAATATATGGGTTTATAAAAACATACAGATTTTTTTAAATCCAAGTAGAAAATAGCATATATCGCCATTCACCCGGAAATATCTGATTTTTGGGCCATATCGCCCAGCCCTGAACACGAAATTTTCCAAATGCTGCTTTAAACAGTCGTTTATGTGTTAAGGTAGCGTAAACATGGGGGAGATGAGATGTGTGTAAATAAATACTGGATCAGTGAAGCTCTTAAAGTGACAGGCGCCTAATATCCCTGCTGCCGTCTGTTATCACATGCTAGTCAAACAAAACACCGACTTAATCTATATTTATACAGTCAAGATTGATGCATATTTCTGTACCTGAACATCAATTTACACCTTCATTAATTTGTGCTATTCCTTGTACTTGGATTTTTTTGTTCTTATTTTATAACTGAATGTCTTTAACAATATTTCAAGTGCAGTTTTTGGTGTCATAACCTTATTTATTAAGGTTACATGGATCAAAAACATCTAAAATAGTTACTAGACGTATTTATTACTTTTTTGTGTATGGGCCTATGAAAATGTTATCAGGACAAGTCAAAATGTCAACCACAGTAGGAAAAAACCGGTTATGTGTCATTGTTACAGTGTAATTATACATGTAAGAACTGAGTAACATTAATTAACAACATGTATGAGGGTTATTTGATTACTGTTATTACTATGGTGTGTACATGTAACATCTGAAACCCTTATCTGTGTGTGTGTCACAGCTGTGGACGGTGCAGGAGTCGGACTGGCTGAAGGAGGGCGTGCGGCGCTTCGGCGTGGGACACTGGGAGCCGATCCGCTGCGCCTTCCCCTTCACGGGACGCACCGCCTGCAACCTGAAGGACCGCTGGAGGACCATGGTCAAGCTCAAGATGGTGTGACACACACACCTGCATTTTATACCCATGTTCTTGTTCACAAACTGTTTTATAGCACCGGATGTGTGAGTGTGTGAGAGAGAGGTTTTTGTTTCTTATTAAATGTTCGTTATGATGGAGCAAGTGTTGCTGTCGTCATTCCACACACAGGATAGGGTGACCACCCGTCCCGCGTAGCGCGTGCGCGCACAGCGTTTGAAGCCCAATTCATGCGTCCTGCAAATTGAGACCGTGTCACGCATAATCAATGCTTGCTCAAAAAAAAAAATAAAAGTCGGTCACTCTATATCCTCGAGACGCAGGCAGCCAAACGTTGTGCCTGAACACGTTCACGTTCATGAACTTGTTCATATTTTGGGTGAACTGAACGTATTGTTTTACTGCCTGTCATGATTAACGTGTGAACTCGTTCATTCTGGCTCTCTCAGTTTAACTTCGTTCAGTGGGGTGCCAGATTTCTATAGAGCCTTCCAGGCGAAAGCCCGGCTAAAACTCACCGTAAACAGGGCTTAATATGTAGCGTAAATACACCCAATCTGGCAACACAAGCCACCAGTCTTGCACCGCGGCCGCCGTCGACAAAGGCGTCGTATGATGATTTAAACGGATTTTATAACGAGGTTGGTGAAGATGGGAAAAATCTTACATTTCTGTGCAAACTTTGAACTGAACTAGTTCATTTAAAAATGTGTGAACTGAACTTTGAACTAGTTCATGTAGAAAGTGAACTTCCCCAAGCCTTGTTGCCGCTCCCACGTGACCTGCTGACTAGGTTGATGTCAACTTTTTCATTGTTGTCATGACAGCGCAGCTTCTCGTTCCGTGAACCTCTGGAGTTGTGAGCAGTGTTGTAGTACTCAAGACTCGGACTCGTCTCGGTCTCGAGACCATATTTTAATGGTCTTGGTCTTGTCATGGACTCGTGTCCGTTTGGACTCGGAATTGACTCGTACTCGAACATTTTTTTTTTTAGGACTCGGACTTATTCCCGAGTCCACTCGAGTTCAATTCAAAATATTTTTCATGATTATTAATGTATGTGAATAAAATATATTTCTTTAAATTGATTGCCACGCCCAGTGATTGGTGATTTTCTAGTGCGCAACTGCGCATGACCAATTGTAATAAAATTACTTTTAACACCACCTACTATGTGGCATTTTTACCCTAAACTGATCATATTTTTTTAAATTCAGTAAAAAAAAAAAAAGTAAATAAGTAAATAAAAAGTAAATTAGGTAATCAACCCGCACTGGTCTCGGTCTCGACTCGGACTCGACCGTCTCTGGTCTCGGACTCGACTCTCTCTGGTCTCGGTGTCGACTCGGACTCGAGTGAGGTGGTCTCGACTACAACACTGGTTGTGAGTTTAGACTTTTTTTTAAAACTGTTCCTGTGGTGTTGAGGAACTATAATTCCTGTTACTCCTATAATTTTATACTTTTATTGATTTAAAGTGAATTAATTGTAATAAAAAATAAATAAAACTAAATAGCTAAAGTAAATCGGAAGTGGAAGTGCATCTGTCAATTCATTGAATGTTCAAAATATTCATTTTTTCTTTATTTAGAAAACAAATACACATTGGTTGGCCTATCATGAGCATATATCAGCAATTACACATGTTTAGGGAATAGGGCATTATTAAAGGAGTAGTTCACTTTTGAAAAAACTTTTGCTGGTAATTTACTCACCCCCATGTCATCCAAGATGTCCATGTCTTTCTTTCCTCAGTCGAAAAGAAATTAAGGTTTTTGATGAAAACATTCCAGGATTTTTCTCCATATAATGGACTTCAATGGGAACCAGGTCCAACCGAGGTCCAAACGACAGTTAATAACAGTTTCAGATGCAGCTTCAAATGTCTTTAAACGACACCAGACGATGAATAAGGGTCTTATCATGCGAAACGATCGGTTATTTCAAAACTTATTCCAAAAATGTAACTTTTCTAAGGACAAATGCTAGCCTTTCTCCATTGTGTGAGGCGCGTTTGTAACGTCACGTAATACGTAATTACGTTCAAAAGGTCACGGGTGACATAGCTGGAAGTACAGAGTCAGTGTTTACAAGTTGAACGCATAGGTTGAACGTGAAAACTAACTCAAACGCCGTTTACAAAAAAGGAATTAAAAGGAAAAACAACGATGTCGGACGATTTTGATTCTGTACTTCCGGCTACGTCGCCCGTGACCTTTTGAACGTAATTACGTAATACGTGACGTTGCAAACGCGCTTCACAGAATAGAGCAAGGCTAGCATTTGTCCTTAGAAAAGTTGCATTTTTGGAATAAGCTTTGAAATAACCGATCGTTTCGCATGATAAGACCCTTATTCATCGTCTGGTGTCGTTTAAAGACATTTGAAGCTGCATCTGAAACTGTTATTAACTGTCTTTTGGACCTTGAACCATCCGGTTCCCATTGAAGTCCATTATATGGGGAAAATCCTGGAATGTTTTCATCAAAAACCTTAATTTCTTTTCGACTAAAGAAAGAAAGACATGGACATCTTGGATGACATGGGGGTGAGTAAATTATCAGCAAAAGTTTTTTCAAAAGTGAACTACTCCTTTAATGTATGTGCTTTTTTTTAACAATTATTCATGTACAAACAGTAAGGCAATAGTAACAGTTCTAGATGTGGGTAAACCACTATCAGAGTTTGCCCGTGGGGTGGGGGCACCGCCGCGCCAAGCAGTGTCCCACATTGTCCCTCAGAAACATACCCCTTGTCCCCCCTTGGGCTTATTAGCAGGTGGTCACCCTACTCTGAGATGGAGATGCAGGAGGGGGGCGAGATCTGCTTTCTGGGAGTCTGGCGTGGGTCACAAGAGTTAAACACACAGTACACACAGCTGATGATGTGTGAGGGGGAAGCAAGTGTCAGCTTTGGCTCAGTGTGCTTTTAATATATGTGTGTGTGTGGTGAAATCACTGTAACAGAACACACACATGAGCAGTTCACGGGTCACGTGATCTCCAAGCCTCGTGTTCAGTGAAGCAGTCGTGTGTGTATCAGCACTGGCAGGGCTTCACGTCGGTGACTGAGGTCAGGCTGGTGTGTGTGTTTGTGTGTGTGTATCAGCACTGGCAGGGCTTCTTCTCGTCGGCTGATGCTGAGGTCAGGCTGACGGTGTGTGAGTTACTCCGCAGCATTACGGCGTGTGTGTGGTCGTCTGTGACGCTGGTGTCGTTCTGCATCAGCAGCCGGCGAGCCATGATGACGAAGGCCTCCTCCACGCTCCAGGCGTCTCTCGCCGACGTCTCCACCGCCGCTAGCAGGCCCTTCTCCTCCGCTAGCCTACACGCCTCCTCGAACTGCACCTCGCGCTCCGCCTCCAGGTCTCGCTTGTTACCTGAGGAAACACACGTTTAGACCGAGCGGCTCTCTCGTGAGTCCGACACTGAAGGGATTAAACTGCAGTTCCTCCACTGGCCACTAGAGGCCGGCTGCAGAAGAGACTCAATCCCATAAACCCCCATGTTATAACGGCCAACTTTACAGCAGGAAAAAAACATGTTTACAGTCTGGTGCTAAAAGTGTTTTTGGTCTATCTAGCTAATTTGGCCCTTCATGACGAGTGTGAGAAGGGTGAACTGTTTTTATAACTCATCATTTAATTTATATTAAGCCTTACATTTCTGCATAATTAAGGGTGTGGCCACTTGAGTGACAGGTGGATTGCCGCTGATGTCACTACTAGCTGTTTCTTTGCCACTCAACGGAGCCGAGGTGATGTGACGCTAACATACAGCAGTGTTCACCGTGTGGAGGATAAGTGTTCAGTCGTACCGATTAGCGCGGTGAGCACGTTAGCGGCACCGAACTGCTTTAGCTCTTGGATCCAGCGCGGCAGCGAGGCGAAGGTGTCCCGGCGGCTGATGTCGTAGGCAATCATGGCTCCATGTGCGCTACGGTAGTAGCTCTGCGTGATATTGCGGAAGCGTTCCTGTCCCGCCGTGTCCCATACTTGCATCTGCACACACACACACACACACAGAGAGAGAGAGAGAGAGAGAGAGAGAGAAAGAGTCAGTGCAAAAGGTTCACTGATCACGGCTACTCCTCTGACAGAGAGCCATGGAAACCAAACACACCTGCGGCGCTGTGGCCTCACGTGACCGAACACTGGCTCACTGCATACTGAACTATAAACATGACATACTAAACAGAGCACACTGAACACTGTGCATGACATACTGAACACTTTACATGACAATGCATACTGTACTCTACATTCTTCCTCATGAACATTGTATACGGCCTAATACTGTAATAAACTACATGGCAGAACACTACACACTGCTTACTGAACACTAAACTGCATACTGCCTACTGTACGCTGCACTACAGTACTGCTTACTGAACACTGTATGCTATGTATACTACCTACTGAACACTACTATATTCTGCCTTCTTTTAGTGTACTGAATATGGTACACCTCTGAACAGCAAATATTACATCTGCACCGTGTACAATACATACTGCATACATACTAGAGTGTGTACATATTCTGCCTAGTGCTCAGTGTATTACAGCACTCTACACTTCATTCGGCCTCCATTACAGCAATAAGCAGTATACAGTGTTTAGTAGACAGTGTGCGATGTTAGTAGGCAGTACACAGTATTTTGTCATTTAGTTAATTACAGCAATAAGCACTATACACTATAGCACTATACACTACATACTGGAAACTGTCCACTACATATTGCAATCTGAAGTGTACACTACATACTGCATAATGGAAACTGTACACTACATATTACAATCTGAAGTGTACACTACATACTGCATAATAGAAACTATACACTACATATTGCAATCTGAAGTGTACACTACATACTGCATAATAAAAACTGTACACTACATATTGCAATCTGAAGTGTACACTACATACTGCATAACGGAAACTGTACACTACATATTACAATCTGAAGTGTACACTACATACTGCATAATAGAAACTGTACACTACATATTGCAATCTGAAGTGTACACTACATACTGCATAACGGAAACTGTACACTACATATTGCAATCTGAAGTGTACACTACATACTGCATAATAGAAACTATACACTACATATTGCAATCTGAAGCGTACACTACATACTGCATAATAGAAACTATACACTACATATTGCAATCTGAAGTGTACACTACATACTGCATAACAGACACTGTCCACTACATACTGCAATCTGAAGTGTACACTACATACTGCATAACAGACACTGTCCACTACATACTGCAATCTGAAGTGTACACTACATACTGCATAACGAAAACTGTCCACTACATACTGCAATCTGAAGTGTACACTACATACTGCATAACAGACACTGTACACTACATATTACAATCTGAAGCGTACACTACATACTGCATAACAGACACTGTCCACTACATATTGCAATCTGAAGTGTACACTACATACTGCATAACGGACACTGTCCACTACATATTGCAATCTGAAGTGTACACTACATACTGCATAATAGAAACTGTACACTACATATTACAATCTGAAGTGTACACTACATACTGCATAACAGACACTGTACACTACATATTACAATCTGAAGCGTACACTACATACTGCATACTGGAAACTGTACACTACATATTACAATCTGAAGTGTACACTACATACTGCATAACAGACACTGTACACTACATATTACAATCTGAAGCGTACACTACATACTGCATAACAGACACTGTCCACTACATATTACAATCTGAAGTGTACACTACATACTGCATAATAGAAACTGTACACTACATATTACAATCTGAAGTGTACACTACATACTGCATAACAGACACTGTACACTACATATTACAATCTGAAGCGTACACTACATACTGCATACTGGAAACTGTACACTACATATTACAATCTGAAGTGTACACTACATACTGCATAACGGACACTGTCCACTACATATTGCAATCTGAAGTGTACACTACATACTGCATAATAGAAACTGTACACTACATATTACAATCTGAAGTGTACACTACATACTGCATAACAGACACTGTACACTACATATTACAATCTGAAGCGTACACTACATACTGCATACTGGAAACTGTACACTACATATTGTCTACTGCACAATGTATACTACTTCCTGCCGAGTGTACACAACATTCAGAGATGCACACTAGACACCGTTGAGTGTACATTACATTCTGCAATACACTGGATTCACACACACATATATAAGAGATAAAGCCTAGTGTGTTTGCGTATGATGCAGGAAGCAGCGGTGTGTTTTCCCCCTCGTGTGCGACTCTAACACACACACTGAGAGGATAAACCTGCTCGACCGGTTGTGCTGGCTGAGTCAGCTCAGTGTAACAGCAGGATCACACTGACCAGCGTACACACACACAAACACACTCAACTGACTAACATCGCGGATATGAGCGGCGGCGTGACCCCTGACCTTCACTCTGCGGCCCTCGATGCGGAGCGTGCGCACGGTGAAGTCCACGCCGATGGTGTTCTGCTGGCGCTCGCTGAAGCGGCCCGTACTGAAGCTCTGCACCAGGCAGGTCTTGCCCACGTTTGAGTCCCCGATCAGGATGATCTTGAAGAGGAAGTCGAAGGAGTCGTCCTGAGGATCCATGGGTCAGGATCCCATAACTCTCTCACACACACACACACACACACACACACGGTGAGAGAGAGAAAGAGGTCTGCCGTCAGTCTCGCTGCTCTGCTGCTGCTCTCACCTTCCTTCTCAAGCCGGTTCCACAGGTGCGACCGCCACCCGCTCAGGTGCATTCTGGGTAACGTAGTGCAGCCACTCCGCATGTTTTCCTGGGCCACATTTGCCAGTTTACATTCATTTAATATCCTGGAAAATACAGTCATGGCCTTTCAACAAATATTGATCACTCTCAAACTAAACCTTATATGTTAAAAATCATGAGATGAAACGTCTTTTACTTTTCTTTTTAATTGTTTAAAAATAAAAAATAAAATACGCTCTTAATGTAAATCAAGTTAGTAATTTGATATGACTTTTGTATCTTGAATGACCTCTTGAAACCCCTGCCCTTTTTCAAAATCAATCAAACCTGCCCTTCTCAGAGAAATATCAATGATAATATTGAGGTCAATAAAACAAAAGGCTGTTATGAAATTATGCAGGACTTTCCCAGCTGTCTTCTGCTGGATTCATGAGGACAAGTAACCTCACAACAAACAGAGATAGAGAGAGAACATGAGTGTGTGTGTGTGTGTGTGTGTAAGAGACAGAGAGAACATGAGTGTGTGTGTGTGAGAGACAGAGAGAACATGAGTGTGTGTGTGTGTGTGTGTGCTTGCCTACAGCCTCAGGCATACGACATCCACACTGAGATCTATCAATCTCCACTGTCCTGATCCAACCAGTGCTTATACAACTTCATCAAATCCTTTCACTGTGACACTTTTAAAGTCCAGAATATAAGTTCATCCTGCCAGTGTGTCTTTGGTAATGAAATCCCCAGCCACTGTGCTTCATGCAATGGTGCCCCAGGAGACATGAAAAAATATTTTCAAGGTTTGTTATCACAACATATTTTCTTTTGTCAAATCAACTTAAATAATTTATTTAGTTCAGATAACATATAATTTTGAGTTTCTGGTGGTTAAATTAATCTCCTTTATTGTATTAACTCACTTTTTCCAGTTCAATGAACTTAAAATTTTAAGACAACCAGGTTACTTACTTTTTTAAGTTAAACCATCAATATTTTTTTTTACAGTGCATCAAATCTGGTGTAGTTGGCCAGTATAAGTGTTTTATTATGATTATCCTGTTTTTTATATTTTTTATTTTATGAGACTTTTATTTTGACATGCTATCTGTAGGGGGGACTATATTTTCTCTGTGTTCGCACGCTCACGCGCTCACTCATGATTCATGAACGGTGTAAACGCGGGAAGGTATGATATGAGACAATGCATGTCTGAGGTCGAAAAATATTAATGTAATCTTAAACTAAAATGTTAAGTGTTATTCCTTTGTTTGGCAGTAAAGCTAATTCACGAAGTTTGTCCAAGTTAAGTTAAATGGTGGCAGAAACCCCCCTGGATCACTATTAGCACCCTTTGATATGCGGAGCGAGGTATGTGGTTCATTGTAATGTACATTTGCATACTAATTCATTTAATATGTTTATGTAAATAGAATGAGAATCATTTTGTGATGATTGTTGCCTGCTATGCTGTTATCTATCTGATGCTAGCTTTCTAGCATATGTGCATTTGTCAAAGGATTATTTGTATCAAGCTAAACTGCCTTTGTTATTTTCCTTTTAAGTTTTCACGGTGTTGATGCTATGCACACTTGTCGGAATAAAAGTACACCCGTATGGAAACACTCCCAAGCCTGTTTATTCCAAGTTGAAGGGCTGCTACATCTGGCTCTGTCTTTATCAAGTTATCTATTTTAGATCAATTACCAGGGAAACTTCAGGATTTTTGTTAGTCTTTGAATTACAAATGGTCAAGGACAAAGCGTAACTCACAAAACATTGAAGACGTATTTGATGGCACTATGTACAAATCTATCGATGTACTAAATGACCCAAAATTGACGAATATTTCCGTGACATGGAAGATGAATGGTTTTCCAGTTTTCAAATCTTCTCGTCTTTACATCTGGCCACTTCAAGTTACAATCAACGAGCTCACATAATCTATGTCACCTTTTAGCTTAGGATCTTATCTTTCAAATGAGACCATTTTCACGTTTCTGTGAGCTTTCTTTGGTAAGAAATACCTTTTCGCAACATGACATCATGACTTTTGCGTAAACATATACGCCACTTTCGAGTCAAGTGGCGTGTTATCTCCACGCATTTTGAGCTATCCGCGTGTATGCGTATATGTCTACGCCATTAACGTCCGCGTCATTCCGCGTGTCTGAACACGCAGTCAAATCTCCAGTCATAAATGCCATTAACCCCAGTGACGGTTAAGTTTAGGGATGGGGTTGAGGTAAGTCATATCTTTTTTTTTTCCTAGGATGGTAAGGGAACAGTCATAAATGCCATTAACCCCAGTGACGGTTAGGTTTAGGGACGGGGTTGAGGTAAGTCATATCTTTTTTTTTTCCTAGAATGGTAAGGGAACAGTCATAAATGCCATTAACCCCAGTGACGGTTAGGTTTAGGGACGGGGTTGAGGTAAGTCATATCTTTTTTTTTTCCTAGAATGGTAAGGGAACAGTCATAAATGCCATTAACCCCAGTGACGGTTAGGTTTAGGGACGGGGTTGAGGTAAGTCATATCTTTTTTTTTTCCTAGAATGGTAAGGGAACAGTCATAAATGCCATTAACCCCAGTGACGGTTAGGTTTAGGGACGGGGTTGAGGTAAGTCATATATTTATATAACGTTAAGTCAACGGCGTTCATAAACACGCTGAAAAGCGATTATGCGTCTTGATAGCACGCCAAAAATGGAAATACGAATTGGCGTGTCATACACACGCTACTTCATGAGATCAGTCTGCTTTTCGAATGAACTGAGAGACGACGCGCTCTGAGCGGGCAAGGAGCAGGACACCAGAGGTCTCCAAGCCATCTCGCGCCAGCTTACTTGTGCCACTGCAAAGACACTTCCATTTGGTATACACATCTAACCGTTCCTGACGCGCAGACTCAAACCGACTCAAACAGAGCTTGACGACATAGATGTGACGCGAACAACCCGTCTGTCTTCTAGTGGCTGTGGCATGAGAAATCTGAATCATTCCCTTCCGAAACTCACAGAGGCAGAGAGTGTGAATAGGAGCTGTCCATGAGCTAGGAGAAGGAGACAATTCTGCTAGGTATTCTGATTAATTATTTTGTCATTTTACCTCCACGTTTCCCCGATTGCGCGCAAGCTTCTCCTCCTGTCCATACGGTAATCTCTCTACTGTGCGACAGAGAGTCGCGTGGGTATGACGCAATCGTTAGCCTACTTTCACTAAAACTGCTTCTACGGGGCCATAACATAAGCTACAAGGTAATGGAGCATTTTATACATTGTCGTGTTTCTTTAGAAATAAATAATGGACAAATGAAGTCATCAAACGCCTCAGATATAAAGTTATTCGCTGTCAAAGTGACGCCAAAATGAATGGGAGTCAATGGAAATGCTAACGCAAGTGAAATTCTGGCAGCACCCGGCCGGCTTCAACTTCCAGTCGATAGATTACCCCCTTGATTGAGAAGGGGGTAATCCATTTTATACACTTTCAAAAATGAATTTAAAATGAAAATTTAGAAGAATATCAGTAACCAGACAGTTTCTGGTCTCATTGACTTCCATAGTATATACAGTATTTTTTCCTACTATGGAAGTCAATGAGACCAGAAACTGCCTGGTTACTGATATTCGTCTAAATATCAGAAAATCGTCTGAATTGATTCGAAAACGGTAAAACTCAACAGTTTAACTCTGGGGGAGTTGTAAAATGAGCCTATTTCCAAAAAAGTGGAATATACCTTTAAAGGATTAGTTCACTTTTGAAAAAACTTTTGCTGATAATTTACTCACCCCCATGTCATCCAAGATGTCCATGTCTTTCTTTCCTCAGTCGAAAAGAAATTAAGGTTTTTGATGAAAACATTCCAGGATTTTTCTCCTTATAATGGACTTCAATGGGAACCAGGTCCAACCGAGGTCCAAACGACAGTTAATAACAGTTTCAGATGCAGCTTCAAATGTCTTTAAACGACACAAGACGATGAATAAGGGTCTTATCATGCGAAACGATCGGTTATTTCAAAACTTATTCCAAAAATGTAACTTTTCTAAGGACAAATGCCAGCCTTGTAATATATTATGAGGCGCGTTTGCAACGTCACGTAATACGTAATTACGTTCAAAAGGTCACGGGCGACGTAGCCGGAAGTACAGAATCAAAATCGTCCGACATCGTTGTTTTACCTTTTAATTCCTTTTTTGTAAACGGCGTTTGAGTTAGTTTGCACGTTCAACCTATGCGTTCAACTTGTAAACACTCTGACTCTGTACTTCCGGCTACGTCGCCCGTGACCTTTTGAACGTAATTACGTATTACGTGACGTTGCAAACGCGCCTCACAGAATGGAGAAAGGCTAGCATTTGTCCTTAGAAAAGTTACATTTTTGAAATAAGCTTTGATCGTTTCGCATGATAAGACCCTTATTCATCGTCTTGTGTCGTTTAAAGACATTTGAAGCTGCATCTGAAACTGTTATTAACTGTCGTTTGGACCTCGGTTGGACCTGGTTCCCATTGAAGTCCATTATAAGGAGAAAAATCCTGGAATGTTTTCATCAAAAACCTTAATTTCTTTTCGACTGAGGAAAGAAAGACATGGACATCTTGGATGACACGGGGGTGAGTAAATTATCAGCAAACGTTTTTTCAAAAGTGAACTAATCCTTTAATTCAGGTATTAGGACATGATTATTCATGTACTATAATTTTAAAGTGTTACCACTGTTACTGTCCTATTAAGGACTGTGTCTTCCATGTCACCCAAGAGCTGGATATACAGGGGTTGGACAATGAAACTGAAACACTGGCCAATGTTGGAGGTTTCACATCTATATGCCTGGCGGCCAGGCATATAGACAATCCTGATTGTATTTGATGGACACGACACTGCCGAGGACTACCAAACCCTTCTGGAGGATCATGAGCACCTGATGCTCAAACCGTGTATCAGCATGATCATGCACCAACACACACAGCAAGACTTGTGACAGAAGGGTTTGATGAAGATGAAAGTGACGTTGAACATGCACAGTCACCAGATCTGAATATTATTGAGGTGTTTTGGAGGAGCGAGTCCACCAGCATCATATAGTGACCTGGACACTGTTCTGGAAGAGGAACAGCTCATAATCCCTCTGGTCACTG